AAAGAGGCAACCGTAAGAGAGAGCCAGGACGAGGGCAAAAGAGAGCGGGAGAGTGAGAGAGCGTAAGTGAAGGAGAGGAAGACCGAGAAGCAGTGTGAGATGGAGGCTAAGAAAAAGGGCAATAAAAAACGAGGAGAAAGAGCAAATGGAACGAAGTGGGCGGGAGAAAAAGAAAGAGAGAGAGAGAGAGAGAGAGAGAGAGAGAGAGAGAGAGAGAGAGAGAGAGAGAGAGAGAGAGAGAAGAGAGATAGGAGAGAGAGAGAGAGAGAGAGAGAGAGAGAGGAGAGAGAGAGAGAGAGAGAAGAGAGAGAGAGAGAGAGAGAGAGAGAGAGAGAGAGAAGAGAGAGAGAGGAGAGAGAGAGAGAGAGAGAGAGAGAGAGAGAGAGAGAGAGAGAGAGAGAGAGAGAGAGAGAGAGAGAGAGAGAGAGATAGAGAGAGAGAGAGACAGAGAGAGAGAGAGAGAGAGAGAGAGGAGGGCCGAGGTCGAGGTCGAAGTCGAAGGTCGAGGTCGAGGTCGAGGTCGAGGTCGAGGTCGAGGTCGAGGTCGAGGTCGAGGGCGAGGGCGAAGACGAGGGCGATGGCGAGGGCGTGTAGCTATCGCTGCCTGGCCATGTTTTCCGGTTAGTGTGTTGGTGCCAGTTTCACAAATCCATGAACAAACGTTCATCGGTTAAGGACGTATGCCATCTTTTGAGCCACAGTTCAAAAGCGTACCGTGGTCAAACTTCAAGATCAGTTATGTCTAATAATGGCACTCGGAATTACCAACGCCAACAAAATAGAATAAGGAAATTGCCAACACCAACAGGATAGAACAAGGAAATGAATTTAAATGTTTGGAGTCCAAATTACGCAGTAAACCTTTTTATCACAGCACGGCACTTCTATTTTCATTGTAGCGAGTCTGCTGCGAGCAGTCTTTGACTGTAACGGACTAAAGGTACCATTTATCAACTCATTTTACTTGCGCATAATCGACCTGAGGGCTTCGAAGGCTGTACAAGGTAACTGTGGCAGTGGTAATTAAAGATGGTATGAATGGCACGAGTAGGAATGAATGTTTGTGATTGACAAGAGGGCGGCGTGAGCCATTTACTGATCTTACTCTGATTAATGATAAGTCAATGGTCAAAGTTTGAACCAGCAGGTCACTTAAGACCACGTGATAGTTCACGCCAAAGGAGGGTCTGTGCTTACAGCCATAAACTCCTAGAGGTTAAATCAAAGCCGTAGTATAACGTTCCGTTGACTTAGGTTGACGAGGGCCCCATGATTGTGTATCTCCCCGCAAATGTATTGTTTCAAGCTTTCGTCGCATTTACTGCGCAAGCATTTTGACCAGGAAGTGTATTGCGAACTGTCACAAGCTTTTGTAGCCTTTGCTGCACAAACATTTTGACCATCAAGTGTATTGCAAACGTAACGGAACACACACATTGGAAAAGGCATAGAAATGGAAGGGTATTGCTGTCATAATGGCTAGCAGGAGTCCATTTCCATTTCTCCCGTCACAGTGGCCCCTTCAAATAAACTTTCTGAGCCATTCAGAAGGATTTCGAGAAAACAGGTATTTCAGATCAAATCGAAAGCACCTGATCTAACCGTGACTGAAAGAACACAAAAAGGTGACATGTGCCTCCTTCTAAGCTCACCGCAGTTCATGAGCCTCCGCGGCGGATCGCAAAATGTGATGGGCAGCAATTCACTCTTGCTTATGTCAAAGTGAAACTATTTCAGAGTGGAGATATTCTGACGCGTCTGATGAACAAAGCGAGCGGCTCTTGAGGTTCTATAAAGTTAACTGGTGAAGGTTGTTGTCGCCGGTATTCACACTCAGTCCTCAGCTGTTTTCGCAACACCACTCCGAAACTGATCGATTGCTCCCGTAAGTATGTACCTACGTACGTAATGCTTACTGATGCCATGCCGTTTTGGTTTTGATGGAATTGTGGCTTCGTGTGCGAGTCCAAGACCGACTTAGCACATGACATATGGTTTTGGTGTGAATGAGCCACGTTTACGCTACATGATAAGTACACTTGTCTGGCTATTTATATCATATTGCTACCAAAGACATGCGAATGCATCACACACAAGGTTGTGCGCCATGCAGATTGGTTGTACAAAACAAGAAGTCAAAAATATAACTGAAGCCTCCTGGTTTACGTTGGCTTTTCATGAAAATATCCCTGCGCAGTAGTGCGGGTTCTCAAATTTGGGCTGCGGGGCCGGGCGGATTTCTAAATGCCTCAAAAAGTGTGAGCTATTAGCGAGGTCAGTATAAAGAAGCGTCAGTATAGCGAGGATTCCGTTGACGGGTGCGGCGGCTGGCTACGCTGCTGGCCGGTGATTGGCTGAACGGAGCCTGTCTGCTGCGATGCTGTGCCGCCACGCACCAGCTGACTCCGCGCGAGGGGCCCGCTCATTGGCTGCGCAACGAAGCGACCGCTGCGGGGACGACCCCGCAACGGGACTCGGTCAGTTACGTGGGTGTGACGTCCGCGCTCCCCTGAGGGGTGGGGCACGAGTCGTGACCCACCTTCGGCCGGCTGTGGGGCGGGCGCGACTGATTGTCAGGGGGCTGGCTCGGTCATGAGTGGCGGCAGGTCATCCATCAGGACCCGTGCGTGGACAGAGCACGTTTCTCCCACCAATGACTGCCCGCATGCCGCCGGCGTATTCCTGGCGCGTAATCACGCCCCCCCCCCCCCCTCCTCCCCTGCCGTCGTGCCAGCCGTGAGCGGCCGCCGCGTTCGACTGACGGTGGCGCCGGCTGAAAGCGGACCGCTCGGCCCGCGGTGTTCGTTTTGTTTTTAACGACCTTTGTAGCTGCCTTGGTCGTTAGGGCTGCCGTCCGTCAGGCTGATCGTATAGAAGAGACGGAAACGCAGCCAGCTGGTAATAAATCCCGGGCCAACACACACGGGCTCAGGTCAAACATGCTCTGTAAACAGGAGTGCATAATTCATTATGACAGGTGATGTGGAGACAGTATTATTTGCTTTTAATATGTCCCCGTGTCCCAACAAATTGTTTAACTTTACGCCAACCAGTTAGGTCAACTCTGTTGGCTCAGCCCCCAACCGATTTTAGAAAGTGACACTTTTGGCTAAAAGCATTTTCCATCGCAGTTCGAGTCGTCCACCGGCTATCGTTTTGGCGACACGGAAGAGATAACCTGGCTTTCCGGAGTCTCTTTGGGGGACAAGGAGGGATAGATGATATATTGGTCCCCTTCAAGGCGGAGGAGGACCTCTGACCCGGGAAGTGCGGCTGGATTGCCGCAGCGTCCTCATCGACGTAAAATGGTTCGTTATCACTGTGGGGGTCCAATAATTGTCAAAGGGGCTCCAGTTCGGCCTAACGGACCCGTGGATGAAATGGGGCGGAGGCCCCGTTTGGAAGTGAAGCCCCTTTCTGACACTGGCCCTTCTATTGCCTCATTGTGAACTCTCATCGCAAGTTATCATACCATTTTTTATTATCGGAGGCCCTGGCCAGCGTGTGAGGCCATCTGGCATTCAGGGTACCGCCTGTGTTCCTGTTCAACAAATCTTCCACTGGCCGATTCAGTGTTCCTTGCAGACACAGGACACCTGCCATTTACTGTGAGCCCCTGACCGGCACAGGGCCCCCGGCCACTGCAAGTATCGAGCAGCGGCCTTGTCCCTGCTTGGGAAATGGGCCGCTGAGACTGAAACTGATACGAAGCCGGCTATGCGTTACTTGCGGTGCTTAACCAATAAAGAAGCCTTCATCGACTCAGAGAGCCCTGATCGGCACCAAGTCCTCTAACAGGCATTTGAATCCCTGGTTTTGCGGGCTAGTGCCCCTTGATACGACTTCAGGTCAGCCCTTGGAACCGCCAAATGGGGGCCCTTGATCGTAAGTCCCAGTCGCCCTTCGGGCACCTCAAAACCTAAATGGGCGGGGGGGGGGGGGGAGAGGCATTGTGCCTCTTTCTCGGAGGCAAAAACCTTTGGATTTCGGACTTTTCATGCTAAAATTGTTTGTTTTCTGTGCGCAGTTCCAGAAGGCTGGGTGTGGGCGTGATATACCTGCACGGAGCCCGTTCCTTTTCTCCAAAATGTGGTAGATCCTGTCATTTGGAGTTGAAGTATATCGGACTATATATGGCATCATGAGTTAAATTTGGCTGTCAAGTACCATCAAAATCACACACGACAGCTGGTCCCAGGGTTAGTTGCGGCAAGCCGGTTTCCGTCAGGTTGAAGTCCAGCCTAGGTTGTGACCAGCTGATGGCTAATGTCCGATGCAGAGTTTTTGTTTGGACTAAACTAGAGGGATACAATATATTTTACATTCGAAATACGTAAAGAATGTGATGCACAAGTCAAATAAGTGTCTCAAGTGCAAGAACCAAGGGATTAAGGACACAAAACATACGGCGACGTTGACATATACAAATTCATTGGTGCATATGCGGCGGCCGCTATATGCCGCTAATGCGCGAATAAAATCGCCGTCTTGAAGATATCGGACGCTGTATGTGGATGTATTTACCCAGGCCAGTAAATGCGAGCAGACGCACGACACCAGCCAGCACATGTGGAGCTTTCAGCAGCTGAGTAAGTTCCTTCTGCTTTCACGGGAGAGCTGCCAACCAATGCGAAAGGCCACTGACCCATCAGGATTCGCGGTAGTGCCCCGGCAGGTTGACATATAGGGCTCGGCCAGGGCGCAAGGCGCTCCGGGCAAACGGGAAAAATCTACGACCAATGGGAAAGGCTGCAGAGCGATTAGGAATGTCTCTGCATGTGAACATATAGGGCCCCGACAGCAGCACCAGCGCTAACTGAAGGCGCAAAAACTCGGCCATTACCATTACCGATCTCCGCGACATGAACGTTGCGCAACTGTGCACGTTTCCCACCCCGCCGCGGCCCTGACGCTGTCAAGGTTGAGTCGCCAATTTTGACACCGAGTCGACAGCTCTGGCGACTGTGACAACTCATGACGATGTGTCTCCGCTGTTCCAGCGTCATGCCGCTACATGCGGGTCAAGTTCCTGCCGAACCTGTCTGATGACGACCCGCGCAACGTCATCATCGGTACAGGGAGCGATCGCCGCTGATGCCGCGCTCACAGCGTAGTGACGTCACTGGTCCCTCAAATGACGTCACTGTCCGTCGCTGAATAACAAACGTCAGGCGCCATCACCGCCGTGGGCGTAACCACGCCTGGAATGCTGTTTAGTTCCATTTCAGTTTTGGTTTAGTTTTATGTGGTCAGTCAAAGCACGGACATAGTCCGGTCTGCCCAAAAACTTACGGACGTCTGGACCCACCGACCACATTGCTGGTTACACCCAAGGTCACCCCTAGGGTCACGTCACGTCACATGACGTTACTGGCGTGACAGACACGTCATATGACGTCATCGGCTCGTCGAACCATGCCACGCTTGTCGGTGTTATATATATATATGCTTGTGACAATGCTTGTGGTGCGAACTATTTTCTTAATTGGAAGTACGCTGTTATCATCCGCTTCCACCTCACGCACTGCTCGCCACATGCGGTTCAAATGAAATCTCACGGTAGCCTTCTGGCATTGCTCCCCAGCATGGGTGTATAGAAACATGCGGAAAAACTTAAATACAACACACGCCGCCGTGTGCAAACCTGGCGTCAAGCCTTGCCGTTACGGACGGTGCGTATCGTGCGATCGCCGTGTCTTGATATAGTTCTTGCGTGGTCTGTCGTCAGAGACGGCTATGTCTCTCGTTTGACTTTCGAAACCGTCGCAGTGTGCTGAGTGGTTGGCGTGCTGCCATGATGTGTTGCATGTTTATTTATGCCACTATCCCTGCGGCTCGTCAGTGGAAACATGGAAACGGCTCTCCCGGTGGTGCGGGCGGGAGACGGGAGGGGGTAAAGCCCACTCCTCGGAGTAGGCTTTAGCCCTTTCAGCTTAGCTCAGCTCACGGCTGTGCTGAACTGAGCTGAGCTGAGCTTAGCCGAGCCGAGCCGAGCCGAGCCGAACCCGAGCTGTTCAGAGACCAGTGACCCGTTAGAAACCCCGAGCTCTGCTGCAGAGCCGCGCGCTGACGTCACTGGACCTCGTCTCCTCAGCGTACCGGCGCACCTGCCTAGGCTTCAGCGTCATCTCGTTGCTGCTGCTGGCGCTCTCCATCTTCTTCTCCGGCTACACCTTCCGCGTGCGGCGCTACACGTTCAAGCGCGTCGCCGCCTGCCTCCACTTCATCGTGGGTGGGTGGCGCGTCCTAGTGTGGGTGGCGCGTGGGTGGGTGGCGCGTGGGTGGGTGGCGCGTCCGGGTGGGTGGCGCGTGGGTGGGTGGCGCGTCCGGGTGGCACAAACTGTCAAAGCTTGGTCGTACAGATGAAGTTTGAAAACGTTGCTGGGAGTCACCTGTGACGTGATAGAAGCCAACAAAGGCGTAAGAGAAAAAAAAGGAGTCTGGGTTAACACGTCATGCATGTATGCCCGTACGCGCCATCTCTGCAGGGTTTTTGTGTGCTTTCCGGGCACCGCGGTTTTATTGAGTAGGCCTTCCTGCAAACCTTCACAGCTGTCTCGCTGGTGCCGCCGCCAGCACCCCACGCACGGAGCGCGCAGGCAGAAATCCGCTGTCCGCTGTGCCAGCGGGGGCTATATCGAGCCACCCGGCACACATGTGGGCAATCAAGTCCATCAAACACTGCGGCTTAATTGGTTGCTGTCCAATTATTGGCAAAGATTCACACCGATACAGGGCTGAGGTGACCGAGTGAGAGGCGGCACCAGCCGGCGAAAAATCAATGGTTGCCAATGCGACCGACCCAGTGAGGCAGCAGTCACGTCAAATGCGTAAAACACTGTACTTCTCACATTTCTAGTGGTCGCGTAATGATCCCAGCCCGATGTGGTTTTTGAAAATGAAACCGAGACTCGCACTCCTTTTAGAAATTGGTGCCTGGTAACCGTTTGCGCTGTAAACAGGTCCATTTCGCTAAACACAAGTAGCCCCTGTAAATAAGTACATGTCGGTGTAATTACGTGGCTCGATCTGTACTCTTGCACTCAAAACGCGCAAAAATGTTAAAAGTTGTGGATTTGCATTGACCAACGGCTTTGATGTCAGGGCTAACAGATGTCTCCCGCATCTTCATGCGCTCTGACGTATTGGTTATCAAGACTATTTATTGGTTATCAAGACTATTGTGTCATGTACGCTTTTTGACCAACGGGTTTTATGTCAGCCGGTATGCGCACTGTGACAAACGTCAAGGTGGTATTTTCGCCCTAAGAAGCGGACTGCACTCCAACTTCATAGCGCAGCTAAAAAGGACTTCGCCCCATTCCGCCAACCAATTTGCAGCTGATGGAATGGCCTGTGAACCGCGCGGCTCCGGGGCTAATAGCGAGCAGTGACGGCCGTTTGTTTGGTTGTTTGTTAGCCCGTCTGTCTTGGCGACTTTGTGCGAAGCGGATCCTGCTCCAGCTGGAGCCGGGCCAGGTATGCGACGGTCGCAGGCGACATACTTACGCACGGCTCTTGATCTGGTTCTAGTATTATCCCAGCACACCGCGGCTTGTTGCCGCAATCCCAGGACTGAGTCCTCCCAGGACTGAGTGAAATCCTACTGTGATTTCACCGCAGTCCGAGGACAAGTTCTCCTATCCCACCGCACCCTGTGGACCGAGTCATACTACTCCCTACGGCCGTCCGGGGATCGAGTACTCTCATCCCACCACCGTCCGGAGTCCGAGTACTCTCATCCCACCGTCGTCCGGGAATCGAGTACTCTCATCCCACCGCCGTCCGGGGATCGAGTCCTCTCATCCCACCGCAGTCCGAGAAACGAACAATTCGCTTGCCACTGCCGTCTGAGAGACGCACGTGCTCGTGCTCATATCACCGGAGGACAGTCTTCCACATCTCGCTTCCCTCCGATAACGCTCCTGCCCGTCCCCCAGCGGCCTGAGAACCGAGGAGCTGAGGGTCCTGAGCCCCGAGGACCCGGCTCTTCGCGTCTCGCCGCCGGGCTGTTGTTTCGCCATTAGCGGGGTCAACTCCGACTGACCCCAACAGCTGACACATCGCTTTGTCGCCAGCCGGGGTTCAGCTGGTGGTGATTGAGGTGCACGCGACGTCATTCCACTACCAGAGGATGCGCATGCCGTCAGTCGTTCCAAAGCGCTGCGATTGGGATTACGGGTTCGTGTGAAGGCACCAGAGCGTGCTCTGTGATGAAAAGTTGTGACGTGCAGTGGCTGTTGTTCTTTCGAGTCTGTGCAGCTGTAGTTTTTGATTTTTAGACATTACTGCATGGAATACTGGATTTTTCCAGTGCAGTTGCAGTTTTAATCAATCACAAGATATTTCAAACGGTGCTACAAGGTGTAAATTGTTTCCCATTTAGACCGACGGGCAGTAGTCATGATCTGATATCGAACGTGGGCTGCGACACCCGTGACCTCGAGAGCATGGATCGTGGTTGTAATCGTAATTGGGTTGACCGACGACTTGCGCTTCACACACAGCCTTACAAACGAGAAAATTAATGGTAAGCGGTCTTTAGGACAGCCAATATCATTTCGTGCAAGCATGGCTGCAAGGGGCGCGGAATGTACATGGGGCTTTTGTTTCGTTACTTTTTCACCTGTCGCGTGCAACGACTATATGCAGGTTCAGCCCGGTAAGCCGTTTTTGAGTCGGACACCAGTGTAGTCAAAACGTACCAGTTGGGGCGTCACGCTTCAACGGAGCTGTTCGCACGTCCGCAGCGCCAGCTTCGTACTCGGCTGGATATGCTTCATCATCAACATGGTTGCCGGCGTCATCTTCCTCTACGCGTCCGGCAAGAAGAAGAAGCGGCCCGAAGGCGACCAGCAGCGCGACCAGGAGGAAGAGGACGACTTCGACGACGAGCCCCAGATCATGGGCCGCTGATGACGTCAAGGCGGTGACCGTGATGTGATGACGTCATCGCGTTGGCCATGATGTGATGACCTTACCTCGCTAGTCACTGCGGGCGTTGCACAGTCGCTACCGAGCGCTAAGATCATCCAGGTGTGCTGACATCGTCATGCCGTGACGAGGCCACAAACGGTCATGACATAGGATGACGTCATGACCGCTATGACGTCACTATCGGATGACGCCGCCGATGACAGCGCCGCCCGGCCCCGTCCACTGAGCTCCGACGCGTACCCCTCCGCGTGGTGCCGCCGCCGACGGCGCGGCTTTTCGCATATTCCACCGGGCGCAGCGTTGGTGATCCACACAACCGCGTGGTTGGCAGTTCGGCGCACCAGCACACGCGCATTTTGCGAGGAGGCCCGAGCCGGAGATCCGCAGCCTGGACAGTGAAACACCCGCCGGCCGCGTGACCCCTTGTGAAGGGGTCAAACCCGGTGCGTTCTCCACTGTGGGACGCCGCTGTCGCATTGCCGTTCCATCGCGGTCTAGATTGCGCGCGAGGAGGGGCGCGCGTGCTGCGGTGCCCGCTGCAGGTGATCGCCCGCGTGTGTCGGCCTTTGATGTGTGGAGCTGCTCACGAGGCGGACTGGCGCTGGCGGCGGTCGGGCAGGCGGACGCGGGCGTGTGATGCCCGCCCGGCGCCGCGTGTGCGCTCGCTCCCGGCGCCTGTGCAGGTTTGGAGCCGCGACTCTGACGTGCACGTTGAACGGTCTGCTGAGTGCCCAGGCTGCGTCGGCGGTCGTCCAGCACGTTTGTTTGAAGGCGACAGAGGTGCGGGTGCTGATGCGTGTGCGCCAGTGCCTTCTGAACCACAGCGAACGGCAGCAAACCCCCTTCACCATTTGCGCTGTGTGGGTACGAGTATTTGCGCACGCTGTGATGCGTGGATTTCGTATCCGCCGCCGACTTCATACTCAAACCCTGTCCCGGTGTCCCTTTGAACGTGTGGACAGCTAACCCCTGGATTTGTACGAAAAGACGTGGTAAAAAGATGGTCGACTGTGCTGGCTGTTCAATACAGGAGCGGGAAGGGGGCGAAGGCACTTTAATATGTGAAACACTAGAACGGGAGAGCCAAGTTAGGCACTTGCACTGCACTTGCACGGCACCAACTTCATATTTGCCTGTACGCACTCACCACACTCATGTTAGAAATGACCCGGTAACTATGGTGTTCTATAATTACTCACGTGTTTAAAACCCCGCGTCAGAAACGGAGGGCAGCCCGTGAGGTTAGATAACATCTCCCTTCCATCGTCACGCTTCTGGTCTCAATCCGTGCAATCTTTGGACCTCGCAACATAAACCTTCAACGCGGCGATTATCAGTGTCACAATCTGATGCCGATTATAGCACGAGGCAAGAAGAAAGCAGCTGGAGAAGCATGGCTGCGTGTTCCCAAGCGCTATACAAACCGCGTCTCCCTCAGAGGCCGCAATGTTCCCACCCGCGCGCCGGAACCGAGCCCTCCCCACGTCCAAACGCGGCGCCACCAGTTCCTGGACTAGTGACTTCTCGGTTGCCTCGTTTCGTAACCTCAGCTTCCCCGGCTGGGTAGCGCCTCACTCTTGCAAGCGACTCGGCTGCAGCACCGCGTTTATTGACCTATGCGTATGACTTATTTACACGATGAGGAAGGGCCCGTGGGCCAGATCACAGGTGCTGCCACCTGTCACCGGCGATCCAAAACTAGATCACCAAGCGTCGCCGCGCGGCACGAAGCGGCCGGGAGCGGTAACTCACGCGCGGCCGCCAGAGGCGCCACAGGTACTGCGGCGGCCGCCAGCGGCACGACTGGTCCGACCGCCAGGGACAGAACGGCCAACAGCCGCAAAGGCCGCTGAATCTGAGCTGGAGGGCCGCGCCGGCCCGGGACGACACACCAGAGACGAGATCCGCCGCTCCGGCGGGGAGACGCCGGCACGGCGCGGCCCCGGCTCGGGTTACCGCGGGGGCGCGCGCCGCGGTGGACCAGCAGAACGGGGACGCGCTGCCGTCGAGACGCCAGTCAACGGTGACGCCGCGGCGGCGAACGGGCTCCGCCGACAGAGGCTCCGGTCCGCGCCGCCGGGACGGGCCGGAATCGTCGAGGGTTGCACGGCGACACGGTCGGCACTTTGCGGCCCACACCCGAGGACGCACCTGCAAACGTTCAGCGAGAGAGGGGGGGGGGGGGGAAGAAAGACAAAGAGACAAGGAGAGAGGGGAACGCCGCCGATGCCGAGACGGCGGCGCCGGCGGATGAACTGCTTCGCTCCCGGACCGCGCGCGAGGCGGGGCGGGGCCGGGGGTGGCGGCGGCGGCGGCGGCGGCGCGGCTCGTGTCTCGCGTTGCCAGCGTCGCTCCGCTTCCCTGCTGAACCGCTCCGCTTCCCTCTCGCGTGCGCCGCGGCGCTGGGGCCCGGCTCGCTGGCCGCTGACGGAGCGCGACGGCGACCGACGCCGTGCGCGGCTCCCGCCGTCGCGCCCGCCGGCCGCCCCTAGTCGCCGTAGTTTCAGACTTTCGGGGAGGCGCGGCGCGACAGGGGCGCCGCCACCGGGGGCAGAAGGCAGCAGGCCGGCCCAGCGTCCGATCGGTCACACCGGCATCGCCACCAGCGAATCTTCACGCTGGAGTGCGGAGCGCCACCCAGGAAGAGCTTCACGTGCTATATAACGTAATAAATAACAAAAAGTGCAGTGGCCCGCCGGAAGTTGCGACTTGTAGAATGACGTTGCAGCGAAACAAAAAACGACTCGAAGCAGGGATCAATATCTGGCATAGCACGAAACCTAGCGGAATGAGGAGCTAACCGAGGAAACATGGACCAGACCGTACCGAAAATCCACCCGGCGGAAGAGTACCGGAGAGCCAGACAACCCCATCATGCAGCAGCGGAAGTCAAACCTGCATCTCCACAGATTGCGGCTTCCCCTGGGACACTTGACTCTGCCGCAGACTCGCCTCTCCTGCTGAGAACGGGCTGCACCCGCGTCTTCCGGGGGCGCGGCCAACAGCAGCCGCCTGACGGCGTGTGAAGTCACCGACTGACGTTGTGTGACGTCCCCGGCTGGTGTATGACGTCACCGACTGATGGCGTGTGATGCCACTGATTGATGGCGTATGACGTCACTGGCTGGCCCCCAGCGCCTCTCCCCGGACGCGACGCCGCTCCTCCGCAGTCGGGGTTCGGTCAGCTCGCGTCATCCTCGTGCGGCCCACTGCAGATGCCCAGCCGCCCAGCTTCCATTTACGAATCCATCGATCTTCCACCCACACAAGCTGCGACAAAACCGATGTCACAAAACAGTTACTCTGAAACTATGACACCCGAGTCTTGAACGGCGGCGTCTTGAAAGGGGCTAACCGCGTTTTGATCTTGCTGTAGTTTGACACCGTCTCATTTCGAACCCAGTGCCTACAACGTGCCTCTTTCGTATCCCTACCAACCCCTCCGGACGTGGCGCTCTCCTTGTGCCCGTCGCCGCAACGCCGCCAGCCCCGGGCGTCTACTGGTAACCCTGAGACCTTCTCCAAATCCGCTCTCCGGACCCTCCTCCCGTATGCCTACTCTTGAAGCCACCTTATTGTTTGCTCGCCCTGGCCACGTTTCCTTGCCTGATCGACATAACGTCGCCACCGTTTTCGGTTCCGTACAAGCAGGATTGTGTTCTCACCTGTTATGTCATGCATGTTTCGTATGCAATCGTCGTGTATGTTTCTGTTGCCTTGCAAGCCCGCTGACCGTCGCTGCACCACGCCCGTCGCCCGTGTCCGCCGGCTCTTCGTGCTCGTTCTCCGTGTCCGCCGGCTCTTCGTGCTCGTTCTCCGTGTCCGCCGGCTCTTCGTGCTCGTTCTCCGTGTCCGCCGACTCTTCATGCTCGTTCTCCGTGTCCGCCGGCTCTTCGTGTCCGTCATCCGTGTCCGCCGGCTCTTCGTGTCCGTCATCCGTGTCCTCGGGCCCTTTGTGCCATTCATTTGCGTCCGCCGGTTCTTCATGTCCGTCATCTGTGTCCGCTGGCTCTTCACATCCGCTCGCTCGGCGCCGACTCCTGCCTCTTGTCCTCTTGTCCGCCGCACTGGCGGCCGGCGTCTGGTCTCCCGTCCCGGGCCATCCCTGCATGTCCGCTGAGCTCGTCGCCGCCGGGATCGCGGTCAGCTGTTACTCAGCTGACCGCGATCCCCCGCCGGTCCTGACTTCTCCCGGTCTTTCCTGGTCCTGACCTCTCCTGATTTCCACGTCCGCTATCCCTTGACGCTCGATGTCCACGCCGATGGCCGCCGCTCCCGCCCGCTGTGCGCGCCACCCCGCCCCGCCTCACAGCGCCGCCAGACAGGCCATGCTCGCCTTACAATCGAGCTGGGCGCGGCCGACGTCGGAGAAGACCAGGCCGGCCGGCGCGGCCAGCGCCTCAAACTGGGGCCGCGTGCAGGCCAGCGCGCCGCACACAAACGCTACGTCAACCCCCGGCCGGTATCTGCGCACACAGGGCGGGCGTTAGCCGACGAGGGGAGGGGGAGGCAGACGAGTCTGCGCAGCTCACTAACACACCAGCAGCGACTCGGGCAACGCGGTGACTTGCTGACTGGCGCATGCACACAGTCGTCACTGTCGAGAATGACATCGTTATAAGGTCCGGCGTCTGACCACCGCAAATAATAATAAATGACCGCACCAGTCCTTCTGGCGTACACATACATATAGTCATACACATCCAGCAATTATGAACGCGCACGGAACGCCTGGGACATGACTTCTGATCCACACTCATCATCAAATAATGCTCAACGTCGGCTTCACTCACAATCTGGATGGTCAAATGAAGGGTATTGGGAAAATCAGGGACAAATCCTTTAAACAATTGCAGGTTAACAGGTTCATATAATATACTCAGTCTCAAGACATTCAAATAGCTAAGAAATATCTAGATGACTGGCGGAGGATCTAGATGACTGCCAAATGCCCATGTGATTGAGAACGCTTGATGTGACTGACAAAGTTAAGATGACAAGTTGTCATCTTGACATTGACAAGATGTCATTGACAACCAATGTACAACCAACGTACAACCGATGACTAAACAGGTTTCGATGACTAGCGAAAGCTCAGATGACCATTTCAAAGTCCAGATGCATGACTTGTCCAGACACTTGCGATGGCTTTAATAATTGATGGCGAATATGGTGAAGGGCGGGGCGGGGGAGGGGCGGTGGTCTAGGCGTACGGCTTTCTATTAGATTTAACAGCAACCAGTGGAATCACAGAGACATTACCAGCGTTACCGGACCTATCAAAGTGATCAGTCGCAGACCCACGTTTCATCGCAAAACTTACTTTCTGAGCGGCAAAATCTATCGGGGACCCAAGAACATTTATGAATGACCTTGCAGTGTCAGCCGAGTGGATTCCGGAGCGTCTTGAACTCACAAGGTATGTAATACTTTCCCGTGTCAAGGAGCTTCAGCTTGCTCTGAATCAGCCGTTTGTAGTTAACACTCTACCCAACATCGACCCATCTTGGATACTAAATCACTTCAGCAGCAAGGTCCCACATTCAAACCAAGAGAGAAGAAAACCGGCACGCACCAAACGGCAGTCTCGAGAGAACACGGCACAGAGGCCGCCCTCCCCGGCCCCGAGGTCAGGGTCAGGGTCAGGGTCAGGCGGTCGGTCCCCGTCCCGGTACGTACGTTTTGATGACCTTCCGGAGCGCCTCCTTCCGCTCGCGCTCCACAAACCAGTCCATGAGGAAGCCAGACATCTTGGGCGCCACCTGGTACAGCCGGAAGAACCTGCCACCAGGCGGAGCACCCGGTCAAGGGCTGCGGAGGGCAGGCCACGATCGGGGCGGGTTACGGTCGGGGGTAGGTCACGATCGGGGCAGGTATGGTAAAGGGTGAGTAGGTCACAGTCAGGGCCAGGTCACAGTCATCGATAGGTCAAGGTCGGGGAAGATCACGACCGGGGTCAGGTCACGATTGGGGGAAGGTCACGATCGAGAGTAGGTCACAGTCGGGAGCACGTCACGGCACGAGCAGGTCACGGTGGAAGCGAGTCACGGTCGGGGGCAGGTCAAGGTCGGAGGCAGATCAAGGTCGGAGGCAGGTTAAGGTCGGGGCACATCACGGTCGAGGCCGGTCAGCCGTGACAAAGTCCGGTCAAGACAGCCGGCAAGGATGAGGCAGAAGTCGGGGCGGACCACATGTCACGTCGGACGACAACTAGACGGCACCAGTGCCGCGCCTTCCCCAAAGAAACGAGAAGACGCCTTCTGCTGCGTGCCGACGCGCGCCATCACCGCTAAACTCGCACCAGCGGACCGGACACTGGCTTCTTCGACAGACGCCGCCCGTGCACCCCACACGCCCGTGACATCCTGCAGACAGGACGTGAGCGACGCACACCGTGAGGCTGCGCCGCCAGCCCAGAGGACCACCTGGCCGCAGCAGGCGGGAGGCTCCTGACGTACCTGACGAAGTTGCCGTGCGACCAGGCCGTGCGCACTTGCAGCGCGTGCTTCACCGACTCGTCCCGCTTGTCCTCGTCCGTCAGCGTGGCCAGCGTGGTGGTGATGTCTGGCGGCGGGGCAGGGGCGCGCTCAGGGCTCAGCGGTGGGGTGGGCACAAGAGAGGGAGGGGAGTGAGCCAGGGGACGCCGCGGCGGCACACGTGACGTGGCGAGGGACACAGACGGCCAGGTGCAGCGGAAACGACAGAAGGTGACACATGCCACCCGCGTGTCTGTTTTTGGACAACCTCGACGGACGTCAACTGCACGTACCAATGCCATCGAATGGGTCCGTGACAGAGTTGACAAACGGCTCTAGGTCCGCCACAGAATTCCCACTCTTCTGAACCAGGTGGCACAACGCAACAGACTCAAGACCGCACAAAGACGACATGCCACTCACGCCAGCTGACAACGCAGATCCTGAGCTTATCTGGAAGCCGAAACGAGGCGTCGCTGGACCGCCAGCCACAGCCGCCGTCACCAGCACAGCGCTACATCAGTACATGAGTCCCGAACACCACAGACGTTTGAACTAACGCGACATCCGCCCTAACGCGGCTGTTGTGCGACTCGCCAGCCAAGACCCGCCCGGCTGTCCCAGCCTGATGACCGGTTGACGACCGGTGATGACTGGTGATGAGCGGTCATCAGGTCATCACCGGGTCATCCTGGCCACAGCGTCGTCTCCCGATCACGCACCGGTGATGGCCTTGGTGAAAATGAAGTAGAGCAGGCGGTAGGCGGTGAACTCCAGCCGGTTGACGCCGCCCACCTCGCGGTACAGCGCCTTCAGCTGCGTCTGGCACTGGTTGAACTCGGTGTGGTCCTTCTTCTCCAGCGCGATGCGGGCGTGCGTCTCGTACACGTGCACGGTGAACTGGTCCCTAATGCCTTGCACCTGAAGGGCCATACGCCGCAGGTGTAGTAAACAGCTGAAACTTATACCAATCCACCACTGGTCTGGACCGGTGCCCACAGATAATATATGGAACAACTGAGCAAACTATACCTTTAAAAAAACCCAGATTGGTACCCGCTTACTGCAAACCTATGTAACAAAACTTTGAGGCCAGTGGAACGGGCCTTTACATATGAAGCATATGTAGGGGGAAACGCAGCTGATACCTTTAACAACGATAAGATTGCAGTGCATGGATAGCTGGCTAATCCTTTAAGCAAGAATCGACAAACGCCACAAAGCAGAAAACTGAATTCCTCGATAAGCTACTCCCAAGCCGTCCAGGGTCGCACTGGCCCCGTCTGAACACCGCCTCCGTCCCCCCGCTCGGCCCGCCCGAGGCGCAGACCGCCAGCACTACCGTCAGATCCTGTCGGATGCTCTTCAGCTGGTCGCAGGCGTTGTGGTAGTCCTGCGTCTTCTTCCACTTGGCCTTGACCAGCTCCAGAGAGCGGCGCAGCACGTCCGGAGGACGGACCGAAGACGCCTCGGGCGCCTGGAGCGCGTGCGCCGGTAGCGTCAGCACAAGCCCGAACAGGCGATGCTGCATCACCACACGGCCGCAGCACGCACAAGGTTGCTCGTAAAATGGCGCATGCAGCCATTTCATTACGCCTCAGTGGCGCGTGAACCGAGCGCCGCCGAATTACACAATCGGTCGTGTGGACGCTCAACCTGATGGCTAGGTGGTTCAACTTACGAGACAAGTTTTTCCCGATCTGTTTAAACGACCACGGCGCACTGGAAGACCTTCGCCGTCGCGTGAAAGACAGTGACCCGCCGACCGTGAAGAGCTTTCTCCCTCTCCCCGTTGGAAACCACGAGCGCCTTCGGTGTATGTCCGGTGATATGTCCGGTGCATCGCGCATACCCATCAGCGCACCGGCACCGACCGGCGCACTGGCGGCTGGGCTGCCGCGCTGCGGCGTGGAGGCTTACCGCCGTCAGACGGAGGAAGCGCTTCTCGAGGTCCTGGCACGTGCCGACGATGTGGAGCGACGACCAGTCGAGTTCCTCGCCGTCCTCGCCGGCCGTCACGCTGCTCTGCAGCACCGACTGCGAGGATGTGGGAGAGTTAGCACCGGACGGGGCGCGATCCGGCTGGGGGTGGCGCCCGCTGGGAGTGACACCCAATGGGAGTCAACACCGACCGCAGAGCACTGGTGGGAAGCTGTCGACGATGAAAGGAGTCACGAGCCGAGTACGGCAAAGCAATGACTGAAGACGGCCAAACATGGGGGGAGGGGGGGGGGGGGGGAAATAGGGCGTCCACACCGACGGAGAGTCACAGCCGACCGATGACGACAAAGAACGCTAACACTTAATGTTGCCACCGCTCACCCGTTAAAGGCGGGCAGCAGCCCCCTCCAACGCACATGGACCTCAAGTACGTGACGGGCACATGCGCGCACGCACTCACATCCTCTCACACACGCGCACAAACACGCCACGCAGCCTCAATTCCGCCAGCTGAGTTCAAGCCCATCACCTCAGGGCATACCATTCTCTCCTACGTGGTCTCTAACGCGGTTGACCGCCCGAGCTAGCGCGTGTACATTCCGTGGCTCCAGCTGGGCAGACAGGACGCCAATGGACCCCATAGACACGACAATGGGCCACAATCGATCTGACATCGCCTTCGGCGTCGCATGCACCTGCAGCTGCAGCCGCGGCCTTGGCCGCGAGCTCCCGCGGTCGCCGGCGAACCGGCTCGCCCGCTTCTGCAGCTGCTCCGACGTGGAGATGGTGGCGCCGCCTGCCGAGCCGTTCAGCGAGTAGAAGTGCGCTTTGCCGCTGCGAGAGGGCAGCTGTCGTCACGGCAAGGCGACAGTATGTGGGAGCGAGTCGGACGGAGTTACACGTTACACGTACACGTAGTTACACGTTGCACGACGCCAGGTGACGCTTGTGGCCATGGCGGGAAGATTGGCAGCCGCTATTCAGTAAACTGACATGGACGGAATTTTAACAATGTCGGCGTTGTGGCGTTAGTGCACGCTATTATACTGTTCCCGGCATAGCAGTCCCGGTCTATGACATTCGAACGCGTCACCGACCGCTCGGTCTCTCGCAAACACTTACTCTTTGCGTCCCCTCTTCTTCTCAAGCCGACTGTTCTTGTTCTTGCGCGGCGTCGTGCGGTGCTCGTCATCCCTGGAGCTGCCGGGCGGAGAGGGGAGGGTTCAGGCGACACCCCGAGACATAACACACGCAGACGCGGAGCGCCGGATGGTAGAAAGGGTAATGATACGGCAGAATAGGTGCCAACATGGCTGCCTATCCGCGCGTCCCAGAGGCGTTCACGACTCCCCTAGCGAACTGTTGCAAGATTAAACACAGGGTCGAAACCTAATCACAAAGCCATGGGCCGCTGGCTAAGGGCGTGTCCGACAGTCTGGAGACTGCCCGCTTTGGCCCACGCATGGTGAGTTCAGCCCAGGGACGGTCAGGGATGGTTGCGGGCCGAGCACACAAGAGCCGGTCGGAACGCCCAGAGCCCCACCACATGACCGAGACAGAGCGGGCCGGTGCGGGTGTCTGCGCACGGCCGAGGATGACAGCCCCACCTGCCGCTGCTGCTGTTCCTACGGCGCCGCGCGCCGCGGCCGGTCCGGCCGTACCCGCCCCGCTCCGGAGGAGAGCGAGACCTGCTCCTGCCGGCAGGGACAGAGGCTGCGTCAGGCACGGCGGCGGCGCGGCGGCGAGCGAGCTGCGGGCTGGCAGTAGCTGAACATAATTACGATTGCATGCTGTGAGTGTCGGCGGCGCCTAAACCAAGGTGGCAGTTACAGAGCACCAAGTAATCGACGATTATTTGGGCATGATTGTGCGGTCAACGGATTTGTCAGCAGAGGATGACCAAGAGTCCCCTTGGAGTGTCAATCAATGACTTATTTTGGAGCTGTGTGACGGCTGACCTTGAACGGGATCGGCCACGGAAGTATCGGCCTGCTGACTGGCTGGCCGGTCGAGGCCGGCCCCGCCCCCTCATCGGTGAATGGCCGGCGCCGGCCGGCGCGGTCCGGTCCGCCAACGACCCTGCCAGGCTGCCGATCACACAGGTCACGTCAGGTGAGGTCGGGTCAGAGGTGGGCAAGGGACCGTCGCCAGGAAACGTGCCATCCTCAGAAGGCTGGATTCCAGTCACGCCATGGCCTGGCACAAAACGCTGCCCGGCTTCGAGACCAACACAACCGACTTCCCAACGACAGGTGACAAGACAACACAACACACCTTTACTCCCGAAGCAACTGCGCCGTCCCTGAAAACCACGACTGGCTGACGCCACGGCACGTGGCCTTAACCACGCGGCACAAAACTGAGCAGCAAACACGTGACGCCCAGTCGGCACGTGGTCACCATCTGATCATGCACCACGTTCATCAGCACAGCCAGACTTGGCTTGGGGCTCAGGCTCACTTGGGCAGAGGCTCGGCGTCCCAGTCGCGGAGCGCCAGCGGCCCGACGGCGGCGGCGGCCGTGATCTTCTCGCGCAGCACCGACTGCACGCGGTTCTTCTCGACGTCCGTGACGGCGCGCTCGAACGAGCGCGTCACGTACCGCCTGCAGGGCGGGGTCAGAGGTCAGGTCAGGGCAGTGGTCATGCAAGGCAAAGGTCAGATAGGAGGTCGCATATACCGTCATGCACTGCCTGGGCGGTGAACAAAGGTTATTTGAAGGGGCCACATACAAATCATCTTTCTAAAAACGGCAAGTCTTGTTTTGCATTGCACACAGCTTGCAAGGCTCCTTGGTCAGCCTGGATAGGACAAAACTGAATATCTTTTAACAGTTACTGGCACTGCAGAGTGCGGCACTTTTTCATAGGAACGCGACACACGTCACACGGCATTTCACGACCAACAGCGACTGTAACGGCTATGTTGGCGCCAAGGGACTACGACACAACCGGGATTCCGGTCCGGGCCCCAAGTAGGAGTCTGAGAGGACTTTTCATACGGATTCTTTAGAATCCACCCATCCCACCTCGGTCACCGGCCAGCAGCAGCTGACTGCGGTAGCCTTACTTGAGACTGTCGGGCCAATCGCTGCTGGCGTTGGCCGCGCTCGCCGCCGATTGGCCGGCCGTGACGCCGGCCAGCATCGAGGTTGGCTGTCCGGACGTGACGTCAGCCGCCAGCGGCCGCGGATCCGCCCCCAGGCCGCCGGGCGGCGGCGGCGGCGCAGCAGTGTCGGCCTGGGCCTGCGGGCGGGTCGCCAGGTAAGAAGCCTCGAGCGGGCAACATCTGGCGAAGTGACGCTCAGCCACTCAGCTGAAAGCAGACGCGTGTGTGTCTGGACCCCGACAGGTGGCTTTCAAGGTCCAGGATCCAGAAGGTGTCACCTGGGGTTCCTGTTGACCTCGAAGGCACCTTTCGATCCACGCAGATCCTTTACTTACAGCCGCTGACCCGCTCCCACCAACACCAACACATCAATTCAACACCGACCTGCATCAACATGGACCCGTTAAGATCCCGAACTCATTCCAGAACTCGCCAGCACCACTCTACAAATCCGCACAAAGCGCAAACGCCCACCCTTCGAACGAAACGTTCACCAGCCACGAAGACGCCGCTAAAATCCTCAACACCAGCAGCACCACGCATTAACCCAACAACACCGAAGCGAGGCGCCCGCCCCCTCCCTCGCACCGCGGCGTCAGGCGACCCCGAGTCATACCTGCGGGGCGGCAGCCGCCGGCGCCACCGGCGGGGGCGGGCCGGACGGGGAGCGGCCGAGCGCGGGCGGCCGCACGCCCGCCGCGAAGCCTCCCAGCGCGCCGCCGTGCTGGAAGCGCGGCCGAGGCAGCTGCATCGGCTGGAATCTGCCGAGCACGTGCCACCGTTAGGGCGCGCATGGTGAGGAGCGGGAGCGACGGCCGGTCGAGCTGGAGCGTGCTGTAGGTGACGGCGCGCGCGTGTGTGTCATCGGGGCTTTACGACGCACTCAGTGCTGGGGCTACATGACATCGCCTGCCTCTCACCCTGGCAGGAAGGGCGGGCGCCGCGGGGAACCTAACCCCGTACTGCTGGCTTTTCAAGCGCATTAGGTCGTCGAAGCAGCTCAGAAAGGCTTCGCGCAGGTCAACGTAATGATGCGGCTATTGCAAGGTGGAAGAGACTAGTACACGCGCTCCCGCCCCGAATATGATGCAGTCCCTTTAAAGCCTAGTAGTGTATAATACAAACGCCCGTAAAACCCAAACCACCGCGCCGATTAGCCACACAAGAAAAGAGCAAACCAGCATCCCCTCCTTAAAACCGCCCCGCCGTCAAGGCCGAAGACAACTGCTTCGAGGGAAGGCGCCAACGGCCGCCTGTTCGATCCGCCCGGACCAGTACTCGGTCGAGGACGGGCGACGTACTTGAAGCCCGGCTGGAGCCCCTGCGGACCAGATGCCTGGGGTGCCCAGCTGTGCTGCTGCTGCTGCTGGCGCTGCTGCTGCTGATGCTGTTGTTGTTGCCGCTGTTGCTGTTGCTGTTGCGCCTGCTGCTGCTGCTGCCGCTGGGGCGGCCGAAACTGGTGGAACGGCCGGTACTCCTGGTCCTGCTGAAACTGCTGCGCCTGCTGGAAGTGCTGTCCCTGCTGGAAGCGCCGTTCCTGCTGGGACTGGTGTTCCTGCTGGAAGTGTTGTTCCTGCTGGAAGTGCTGTTCCTGCTGGAAGTGCTGCGCCTGCTGATATTGCTGCGCCTGCTGGTACTGCTGCGCTTGCTGGTACTGCTGCGCCTGCTGCTGCAGCTGCTGGTAATGGTCCGGCTCCTGCTGCTGTTGCTGCTGCCACTGCTGCATCTGTTTGTTCTTCTTCTTCTTGTTCTTGCGCCGGCCGGGACCGGCGCCGGCGGCGGCAGTGGTCGGGGTGACGACCTCAGCAGCGGGGGCGGCGGCGGGCAGCTGGCTGCTAGCGGCGCCATCACCTGCCGGCAGCGAGAGGGCCAGCGGCGGCGTCACCTGCTGGCAGCGAGAGGTCAGGGGCGGCGTCACCTGCCGGCAGCGAGAGGTCAGGGGCGGCGTCACCCGCTGGCAGCGAGAGGGTCAGCGGCGGCGTCATCTGCTGGCAGCGAGAGGGTCAGCGGCGGCGTCACCTGCTGGCAGCGAGAGGGTCAGCGGCGGCGTCACCTGCTGGCAGCGAGAGGGTCAGCGGAGGCGTCACCTGCCGGAAGCGAGGGGTCAGCGGCGCCATCACCTGCCGGCAGCGAGAGGGTCAGCGGCGGCGTCATCTGCCGGCAGCGAGGGGTCAGGGGCGGCGTCATCTGCCGGCAGCGCGCGTCGAAACGGCAGGCCAAGGGTCCGCGCTCAACCTCATAACAACTGAACGTGTATCGGGTGCGTAAACGACGGCCAATGAGGTTTCTCAACATCGAGGGCGTTTGTGCACGAAGCCAAATCTACACTCATCTTCAGCCTGGACACGAGAAACAGCGCGAGTGTATTTGTCTTCGACCACGAAGGACATATTTCACCTCGCGTATGCTTTGTGTCTCAACTGAGACATGTCTGACGACATGTAGTGGGCTCGTCTCATCTGATCGGTTTTCACGAGTGCCATGCGGACAGGCCGTTATGCTTTTAAGTGAGGATGAGTTGGATGCTGAGGCTGTCTGGCCATCTAGCATGCAGTTAGGATATCTACTCCGCCCGCGTCTGAACAAAACGTAAAATTGAAACGCTCACTTCTCCTCACATATCAGTTTTAACGCGGAACCTTTCGGGGTACGCTAGTTATGAGCGCATTTCTTTCCGCCCTTTCAGTCTTTTCGAAGGACTACTGGTGACTATGAGCCGACCAAATACATTACGCGAATGCCTATGACCCACATGTGGACCTGATTCGGAGAAGGCGAAATGCCTATGTTTCAAATAAAAAACGAACCAAAAGTCATGGCATACTGGGTTAACCATAGAAGAAAACAACAACATCGCAGCTATAAGCGGTGTAATGATCGCGTACGTTCAGACGTCATCAGTCTGCGGGTAAAGGGGGAGGGAGGGGGGAGGGATCTACGATCTGCTCACTGACGCCAAGCATCGCTGACGGCCCATAACCACCTGACCCCTCTTCAGTAATGAGCTCCAGGTATGGCCCTCATCTGTCTCCTGTACACCTGTGCGCAGCGGCCCACGAGCGGACACTTGTTCCGCTCCTTTCGCGCCGACAGACGCCAGCGCACTCTTCGGCGTGATCTATGCCGTCGTCTCGTTTCCAACAGACCACCCAGTTCAAGCCAATATCAACTATCGACCCCTGGGACATCGCAGTGTGGTCGACAAATACACAGCGACAGCGGGGTCACCGGACTACTCGGGCGACGGGCGCCGGACCGGCCGCGCCGCACCCACCTGGGGCGCCCGGCGGCAGCGGCGGCTCGGCCGGCGGCAGCGGCGGCAGCGGCGGCAGCTGCGACGGCGGCGGCGGCGGAGGCGGCGGCGGTGGGGGCGGCGGCGGCGGCGGCGGGTCCGGCGGCAGCGGCGGCTGCGAGCCGGCGCCCTCCGCCGGCGGCGGCCGCGGCGGCCAGCCGGCCGGCCCGGCCGGCGGCGGCGGCGGTCCCCAGGGCGCGCCGCGCGACCCGAACCAGCCCGGCCCCGGCCGCGGCATCCGCGGCTGAGGGATCGAATGACGTCAGAGGCGTAGACGCCAGGCAACTGCCCTGCGGCGTCTGCAGCCGCGGGCCACCAGGCTGCGTGTGACGGCAAACAGTGACAGACGTTGGTGGGATAATACTGGGCAAATCAGGGCGCGCAATCACATGCTACGTTGGTGGAGTGCAATAACAGTAAACAAAAAACCAGTTGGAACCCCGCACTCGGCCTCTACATGGATTATATGAATATACAAATTTGAGATGAGCCTATAGATCTGACAGCACCGGGTCAGGAACTCCACCGGTGACGCGGTTCAAGACTGCGTCGGCTTCGATCATGTCAGCACAAATGGATTGGAAACGATACCGGTGTTTTTATATGGTGCACGCAATATTTTGTGTTAGAAAAGGCTTAGAACATTCAAATGGTAAGGATTAAGCAACACTTTTGCAGTGGGTGATCGGTCGAGGTCAAATTTGTAAATTGTGACATTACATAATTGTGACATAAACACACATCGGATTAGACTGTGTGCTAGATGTTGTGTGCTAGAAAATTCGAAATTCAATCTAGGAACAAGTCCGCGAACACAACACCAACGAGCTGCCTTTTCCGCAAACTCGACAGGGACCAGCAGCGCCGCAGGTCATCACCAGGTCAGGGCGGCCGCGCCGAGCGGTGCGCGAGACGCGAAGCTGACAGGACGGGCGAGTCCCCCCCCTCCCCCCCCCCCTCACCTGCCAGCCGGACCAGGCGCCGCCGAAACTCTGCCACGGCGGGAACCCGCTGGAACGGCAGGCCAGCAGACAACGAACGTCAGAAAGGCCAGCCGCACTCCCGACGAACCGAGCGCCCAGACAACGGAGGGGAGACAGGGGGCACGGCAAGCCACGGCCACGGAGACAGCCTGTGACACTGAGATGACGACTGGCAGTCCACCGAACAGAGCGCCGGGCGCTGGCACCCCTGCCACGGCCACGGAGACAGCCTGTGACACTGAGCTAACGGCTGGCAGTCCACCGAACAGAGCGCCGGGCGCTGGCACCCCTGTCACGGTTGTTACGACCTGCCACGTGACCTGTAATGGCACACCTCCTGGACTTTGGTCAAGGCTGGATCCAGGAAGCTGGCGCCTCTAGCGCACCCTGGCGTCTACATTCGATTGTGATCGAGACACATGTCTGGTTCCGATGGTCCAGGCGTCTGCTCCGCGACGTGCGACCGCAAGCAGTATCGCGAGCGAGCAGTGACGGAGTCCCGCACTGATGCCCTGCTTTCGTCCCACTCAACGCTGTCCCAGTCATGGTCACCGACCATCACCGACTCTGGCTTTGCCGACCGCTCTCCACAAGTACCGTCCTTGCTGTTCAGCGTGTGTCAAGTGCAAGTAAGCCCGCAGCGTGTGTGTAGTCATTCTAGACAACGGTCTCAGAATACAGCTGTGAGCTCTGCTGCCAATGTCAGTGACGTCACACGAGGCCGCCACTCACGGGACAGGGCCGTACGGCGCGCCGGTAGGCCCACTAAAGCCGCCCCAATCGGCACCCGCCTCCATCTGGGCCTCGTAGGCGCCGTCTTCCATCGTTCTGTTCACGCAGAACAAGGTCCCCTCTGCAGACAAACAAGCAGACAAGAGTTACACAAATACCAACTGTTCTTAAAGCTTATTTAGCAGGTAACAGAGCTGACTCTTGCAGTATGTCTTACCTTCACCTGCTCTTGCTCAAGTATATCCCAGTACGACCTGAGTAAATTATTCATTGGTGCAGAATACGGATGTGCAGTGTTTCTGAATGTAGTGCAGGTTGTTGGGGTCACATTGGGGTCAGTTAGACCAAGTCATATCAGCCCTTTTTGTTCAGTAACCCTAATTTTGCTACATGCTAAAAAGCTTGAGGCTTTTAGCACCAGACTGCATGGCTTGAGCTTGAATAGAAACCCACCCACAAACAATCACAAGACATATGGGCCAGGCAGCACAGTGACTTTGAAGGCATCAGTATTACATGCACATGTGCAAATTGTGCAAGTCCAATGCTGAGTAGCTGTATGGTTAATGAAGATAGAAATAAAATGAATAATGGTGGGAGCAGCCTCTAAGTAGAAACATATTGCATCACTGTTGGTACCACTCAAAATAGGCAGCAAGTCTTCACATTGGCCTATACTGCAAAGAGATAAGCTGGTTGTCCCATTTGAAGCAGACTGAAGCTGACCAGCAGCCCCTCCCAAGCATGCTGGGGCCTGGGCCACCACCTGTAGCAGACAAGGCCTCAAGTTATGTACTGGTTGCACTGGGTGTGGGCCCTCTGTCCCTTATTATGTTTTATACATTGTTAAGGGAACTGCAACCATACCTGGGCATAATGTTACCATGTCTGGCCACCTGCTTGTCACTAGACTGCAAAAATACATTATATGTGCAACATGTCAAGTGCAGTAGGAAGGTCCTAGCAACACCTGTAATGTATGTCCCAAAATAAATAAAAAATTGGTGCTTGGTGCAGGTCACCAGCTACAGAACATAGATGAAAATTGTATCCATGAACTGCACCATTGCAATAGTAATTTAAAGCATACACACTACAAATATATTTTTGACACAAATACAATTTGCAAGATCAGCAGAGTCTAGCCTGGCCCAAGTTTGGCACATGCAAGCACAATGTTTAGCACACTGATGTCCTGGTAAACATTAAACAATGTGGAGTTTTTTGCAGACTGCTGCTGTTACATTCAAAGAGAGTGTTAATTTGTAAGGGGTTTTGAAATAAAATAGCCATCTTCACGATCTTGCAGAGCTATTCACAATCCTGCCCCTCAGACCTAAGTTCCTCTGTCATGTCATGTCATTGGGGCTTTACAATGCACTCAGCTGCTGAGGCTATATGGCATCGCCTGCCTCTCACCCTGGCAGGAAGGGCAGGTACCACAGGAAATCAAACCCTGCACCACTGGGTTCCCAGATGCACAGTGGTTAATGCACACACATTAACAACTACACTACCAGCACCCCACCTGTGTCCCTCTAATTTCTGAGCTATGCACCTGTGAAAAGTGGAGGAAGGTATATCAGGGCAGGTGTTTCAAAGTCGGCATGGCCTTCATGACACCATGTTAGCACTATTTAAATCCTGCCATTCCATAAGATATGCAGCAATCATGGCCAAGCCAAAATCATAATTCATGACAATTTCATATCTGGCACTTATAAGAGTGATTTCCAGACATTACAGCAATCAATTGGCTCTCAATCAATGTTGTGCAAGGTATTAGAATATATTCCAACCATGAGCCATTGAGGAGCACATTAACTAAACAGAGCAGTATGCTACCTAGAGCAGTCTTCCACTTAATGAGTATACCATTAGTTATGTGAAATCATTCCATCATATCCAATGCCCAGGTACCCTTCAATATCGTCAGATGTGGAACATTCCCTTCAACTTAAGCTGCAGCAACAGCCATCCATATACCACATAACAAAATTGATGGACAACCCCTCCACTTTCTCCATTTACAAAGGCACTAGAATTAAAGAACAAATTAATTTTCAGCTGCCCACCAATAATAAATATTTCTTCAAACAGACACATAATCATAATTGATTGTTTTCAAAGCCAGCATGCTATTCCAGGTGAATTATGTGTTTAACAAACTGAAAACTGAGCCTGGATTCCACTTAAATAGCACCCACGAGGTTGCGCAACTCTTACCTTAGACTGAAGCCTTCGACACAGCAATGACCGTATATTCCTCGTCCCTCACTACGGGAAAGGTCCACAGCCCACACCCTGAAAAATTATTCTCCTATCACAATGAAAGTACGCACATACTAACCCCGAACAACTCGCCCCACGCCCTTACGAGACATAACACTGGAATACACAAATCGACGCAGCGCACTCTTTATGCCTCGTTTTCCAAGGATGCAAGAAAAGATGGAGTGACTAAACTGCATTCACAAAGAATCTTCCTGGCGTCACTGACAGCAACACTTCTAACAGACGAAAGACGAACATCCTTGTGTCCAGTTGTATAAGTCAACTGACCCCTGATGAAACGATTATTTTATAAGTTTTGAAGGGCAGACTCTGCTCAACTCTAGAACATTCGATTACCCTTTAGACAAATTTTGATTTTGCCCATTCACTGGCAGAAATTGAATCCGGAATCGATTCGCATGGTTTGTGCCGAAGCCAAACCATCTTTTTGGTTCCGCGTCATAAACAGCTATTCACTACATGATATGACTGCAAACCTTGGCGCCTATTACATGACCGGCCTTCCAAACGAACACCTGCGCCTGCACCACTCTTGTACACCTGGCAAATGAGCGAGGGGGAGCCGTCTCAGCCCAGACCGCGCGCCAGTCGCGAGGCTTAGGTGACGACGTTTTGGTGACCCGTGCATCACTCCACGCAGGCATGGCTGCAGGTCAGTGGGGATGATCAGCCTCGTGTTTTGGTTCTGCCTGACCGACATCGAGGACCTGACCGACATGCCGGCTCACGAGGCGTCTCGAGTTCACGTCGTTTTCCACGATCTAAATAACTTAGCGGCACATTGAGCCGCAATACGGTTTCAACCCTCCAAAAGAAAGGCCAGTCTTGAGATGATTTGTCAAAAGGCATGCTTTGAAAAATTTGAGGCACGCTGGATTATCCACTGGGTGATGCGTCAGACACCTTACTGTGCCCTCCCCCCCCCCCCCCCCCCTCCCCCCTCCCCGGTAGTGCTCGCTGGCATCTGCTCGCTGCTGGCATCCGGTGTCGGGCCGGGCGAATAGAACAGTTTCGAGCCTAAACCTCACGCTGTCGTCGGCGAAGCAAGTGCATCGGTGCGCTCCACTCACGCCGTGGCATTGACATCGACCGCTCCATGCGCTGTTAGGGTGAGGAGTCAGGCAACCACCCCTGGCGCCCAACGGCAGCCATGCGCTCTAGCCAGGTGCTCATCGGGGGCTCACCAACACCGACGACCGGCCAACATGACCCGAGCGCGTGGGCCGCGAGGCTCCAGGGCTACTGTCCAGCTGGCCCGATGACTCATCACGGACGCCGGCGAAACCAGCGGCTACAGACGTGCCGCGATAGTCGATCTCAGCCTTCCAGACGATGGCTGTGCGGCCGTTAATCTTGCCTCTGTGTGGAAACACAGTGGGTTCTTTTGACACGGGCGAGCCTGGTGCGGCGTAGCAAATCTGTCTCATTACAACGATGCAGTGGATGGAGGCAATGCCGCAATGCATTCATATCTTCCGATTAAAAATTCCGGTGAAACAAATCCGGGTACGTAACGAAGGGCCTAATTCTGGACACGGGACGGGTGAGCGTACGCACGAAGACATAACAGATGATCCCAACCGCGGAGGCATAACCAGTGAGTGTGTTGTGTGTTCCAGAGGCGTAACAGATGTGTGTAATTCCAGACAAAAACTGGCGTACGTGATTCCGAATATATAACGGATATATATATATATATATATATATATATTATGCACACATTCCGAGGATAAAACATGCCCGCGTGACTCCGTACACGGCGTGAGATTCGAATTCTGAAGATGTAATGAATGAGCCTGATTCATTCCGATGCCGTAACACGTGGGTCAAAGGTCAGAAGACGCAGCGGTCAAGTCCAATTCCAAAAACTTCAAGTGCAGATTTAAATCTCAAGAAGTAAGCAGTGGGTCAAACTCCCGATAAGAAATGCGTGGGACCGGTTCTAAGTGCATAGCCTGCCGACCTCATTCCAGAGAACAGCAGTGAACCCCATTTCAGAGAACAACAGATGAACCTCATTCCTGAGAACAACAGATGAACCTCATTCCGGAGACGTGAAATGGAAGTCAGATTTGGGAGTTGTAACGGATGGCATTAATAATTTCGAAGACATAGGCGGTGAAACCAATTCTGGAGACGTGGCGTGTGGGCCCTCAATTTGGTGACGCGATGTGACGTGTGGGCCCTCAATTTGGTGATGCGACGTGACGTGTGGGCCCTCAATTTGGTGACGCGACTTATGACGTTAACCGCGGGCCGCGTGAGTGTGACGTGTGAGGGTGCGTAGAATGTACCGTATTTTTTTAGATATACGGGTTGAACCCCATGGCGGAGTGGGAACAGATGGGCCTAATTCCGGAGCGTATCGGTCAAAAACAAATTCTGGAAAGGGAACAGCTGAGCCCGATTCTAGAGATGTAACGCGTGAGTCTTATTCCGAAGGCCTAATGTGCGGGCCTATTTCCCGTGACCTAGCCGTGCGTCCCATCCCCAAGACAGCGGAGATGAGCCGAATTTCTCAGGCGGCAAGGTAATGCAACACTCAGTGATTTCATACATGGACAAGGGCAACGATATGAGGATACATAATTGGGGGAAACCAGTTCCGAAAAGTAACGACTGAATCTAGTTCTGGAGATAGACTAGTAATCCCAATCCGCGAAACGATACGCAATGGATAACGTCATTTATGGACGCGTAACGGTCGGTCCAGTTCCCGGGAAGTAATGGCTGAGGTCAAGTGGGGAAACACGGCGCATTGGTGCTGTTCCGAGGTCGGGCTACTTCGGGGAATAATGATTTGGAGCACTGTATTATCAATGAGGTGCTAGCACGAGATAAAACATATTTTACAACTGTTATCTTTATAAATGGTGTTATTGTCCATGCAACGGTGTGCGTGTTCACTAACACTGCTCCAAACATTCTGCAGAACTCCTTATTACGCTGCTCTGTCCAAGACCAATGCAATGTAGAAATATAATGTAAATCCCAGCATGCTGCCCTGCACCGCACATTCAGACCTCGCTTTTGCATACGCTGAGACTGACGGAACTTTCCACTGCGACGGAACCACCAGACGTAGCTTTCCACTGTGACAGAGCCCCCAGAGTAGCTTTCCACTGCGAGGGAGCCTCCGGACATAACCGCCCATGGCCGTCGTTCACTCGCTTCAAATGGGGCCATTAAAGCGCTCACGAACCTCGACGACCAGCACGCTCCCCTCCCCCTCCCCAGATCGTCATACGCTGTACACGTGCATTGTGCGAAAGCCTTGCAACGTGACCTTGACAATGCCGCTTGCAGGCGTTGCTTGCTTGCCCGTGCACAACTTAAGTGCTGGGTACGTTGTAACGTTGGTTGGCTCATAAGAGAGTGTATGTATGAAACGACCTGTACCAAACACGTAAGGAGGTATTGGATATCAATTGGTTACATCTGTGTGTGTGTGTGTGTGTGTGTGTGTGTGTGTGTGTGTGTGTGTGTGTGTGTGTGTGTGTGTGTGTGTGTGTGTGTGTGTGTGTGTGTGCGTGTGCGTGTGTGGGGGGGGGGGGGGTTGTGGGTGGGTGTTTGCGTATGGGTGTGGGTGTGAGTGTGTGGGTGTGGGTGTGGGTGTGGGTGTGTGTATGTTTGTGGGTGCGGGTGTGGGTGTGGGTTTGCGTGTATGCGTCTTTCAGCACGAAACAAAAAGATAAAACCCTTTCGCACTGAGTTTTCGCAGGAAGATGCCAACATTGAGTTTCCAAGAAGCAATTTCTCATCATGAGACGTCACAGTTTTCAGATTCCTAAGTGGATTTTTGGGGACCGAATCTCTGTTTACACGCGCCCGGGTGGCCGGCTAGACACCCTTCGCTCGGGTGGGGGGAGGGTCAAGTTGACCCCCCTGAGATCTCGTAGGCTAAAAAAGCTAGAAACACCAAACTTACAGGGTGTGTTGACCTGTACGTGAACTCACTGAAGTCAAAGTCTCAGATTCCTAGGTCATGACTTTCAGGCCAAAAAGATCAAACAGGGTCAAGTTTCAGGTTGGTCTCCAAAGTGCCCCCAGGACCTAGATAACTGTTTCTAAGCAAAAGGTCTTATGCTCATTCAAGGTCAGTGACCTTCGTTGACCATTTGAAGGTGAGTGTGACTAAAGTCATGCAAGATTGCTTTGAGTTTTGCATTTGACTAAGCGACGAAGATTGCGCTAGGCAGTATGTTCTTAAAACAAAGTGTCGTCCTGGGTCATTTCAGGTCAATGACGTATTCTGACGTCTAAGAAGTCCATGGAAGATGTATTATGCGGTTCCTGCTATCAATAAATTCGAAATGAGCACCAGAAACTATCCCATACAGCAAGCCCTAGAGTAACGAAACAGGCTGTTTTTTACCTTGGTGTGACCTTTATGCCTGACCTTAGGTCAATACAATTTGCTCATTAAACTGTTGTGTTACCTAAAAAGCATATCAGAGATGTATGGCTTAGTCTAATACTCCGTTGTTAGATCAGATTAAAGGATTCCCTAGAATTACCTTGAAACCATGGCCTGACTTTGACCTGCCATAGGTCAGTGACCTTAGAAGGTACACCTAAATATTTGATGACACCCGATCCACTATTCATTTGTCTACAACATCAAAAAAATTGGTGCCGCTACACCGGGCCGTTCGGAAACCATTCTGGAAAAACCTTCGGGGGATAATTTGACCCCCACCTGAGCGCGCGTTAACTGCGTTGAGGACACTGCTAAGTCACATCATTCCGATGGATTAATGCATAGCGCGGCAAACCCCCTACAGCTCACTGGGCCGTCTCATCTGGCAGAGCCGGGGGCGATGATCCTGCTGGAGCGACACGGCGACGGAGCCGAGGTTGCCCTGGTGACCCTGAACCGCCCGCGGGCCAGGAACGCGCTCTGTGACCTGCTCATGACGCAGCTGGCCGATACGCTGGACCAGCTGGAGACTGATGACCGGGTCAGAGTGGTCGTCATCACCGGGCAGCCGGGCGTATTCGCCGCTGGTGAGTGGTCGGGTCCCGGGGTCAAGCGTCGCAAGTCCGGTCAGGAGGTCAGACGTCATGAATCGGGTTCAGGGGTCAAAGGTTGCGGCCGGGTCGGAAGGTGAGACGTCACAGGTCATGTCAGTACATCGAATGTCGTGATTCAGTACTGGTAGGATGTTGTAGCTCAGGGCAAAGGGCCAAGTGCTACGAGTCGGGTCAGGGATCAAGTATCAGCTGTGAACCAGCGACAGCCGTTCTGCATTCACATATTTCATTCTGCACACTGATCATGTAATGTTTGAGCCATTCAGAAACTGATTTGGGACAGATCTTATAATCCTTAATCACAGCACTCGCGCCGATGGACAATGTGCAATGCAAAATATAGATGTGATCAAGTCTGGCAACTCTGTTAGATTCCCTGATCAAGACGATCAAATTATCAAAAGCTTACTAATTATTCAAGGAAGCATGTTAATTAACCAATCCGTGCACAAATGTGTGCTGGGCTACTTAGGTATGAGAAAACAAGAACATTAAGAAGCCAACTAATCACGACGTCTTGATCGATATTAACAGTTGGTATCCCTTTTCATCCCGCACCCTCGCTGTCACTGTTCCGTGTCCAAGCTTGTCTCCTCCACGCTGGGCAGCTGCTCGTTGCATTTTGAGCCGCCGCCGTCTCCGGCCTGGCCCCTTGCATGCCTCTCCACGTCACGGTCCACCAGCTCCTCTGGGAATGGCATGCTCTCTCTCCTAAACCTCCTCGTCTCCGTCTCGGGGCACACACGCCGGCGCGCGAGCCCCGCCACGCGCCCCCGGGCTACGCCCACAGCCACCTCAACGAGAAACACGACCAACGCCGACCCCAGACCAACGTCCAGCACCATGAACGCCACGTTAAGGTCAGCAAGGGTCAGCGGGCGGAGCTGCGCCTCGACACCAGGCGCGTTGAGCAGCTCCTCCCGCATCCAGAACTCGACGAGGCCAGCCTGGAGAAGCCGCGACACAGCCGCGTCCAACAGCGGCTTGAAGCAAGCGCCGCGTCGGACTGGCCACGCCAGGCCCGTCTGGTAGAAACGTTCGCGCGCCAGGTAATAGCGGTGCGGGTCCGGTTGCGCGGCAATCGACTGGCGCAGCAGCGCCACCTCTTCGATGTAGGCCGTGTCAGCGCGCAGATCGTGCAGCCAGGCGCGCTCCTCCAACGCGAAGGTGGTCATCTTGGCGAAGAGGCGCGCGAGCGTGCTACGCCCGTCGCGGAACGTCTCCAGATACTGCACGACGGCGATCTCGTGAGCGGCCTTCACGAGAAGCGGCGAGTGCGCGAGCTCCTCGAGCGTGTCGATGGCGTCCGGGAAACGCGGCACGCTCAGCTGTGACGTCATCAGAGTCTGGTAGCAGATGGTGACGACCAGGCAGAAGAGCGACCAGCCGACCACCAGACAGCTGTTGGTGAGTCCGCGCGGGTCCAGCCACACCGGCTGGCCGACCAGGGATCCCACGGTGAAGGTGACGGTCCTCTCCAGTCGGCGCCGCCAGCTGCGCGTGCACACCATCCCCGGCGCCAGCGCGAACACGGCCGTCGCCAGCGCCAGCGCCAGCAGCAGCAATAGCCACGAAACGGCGTCAAACGGCTCGGCAATGATGAGCCAGCGCGGCAGCGCCTCCGACTTCACCAACGCGAACGACACGGGCTCCACGTGGAACGGGTACGTGTAGTCGACAACCTCACTGCGCTCGAGCGTCACCGAGATGTCGCCGACGGCGAGGTCCGCCTCGCCACGCACCACCATGCCGATAACGCCCGTCCAGGCGCCGCTGGCGTCGCGCGCGCCGAACAGACCTGTCATGCTCGACGGGCTCAGGAGCGAGTAGCTGAAGCCGTACAGCGCGGCCACTGCGTTCAGGATCTCCGCCTCGACGCCGGCAATGCGCGACGTGTCACCGCCGGGGAAGAACATGTAGGGCGTACGCGAGGCGGCCGTCGTGGTGACGCGCAGCCGCTGTCCGCGCAGGCGCACTTCATTCTCCACGGACAGCGCACGGGGGGAGATGTTGTAGCGGCTATCGAATGTCACCACCGGCCGCATGCGCTGGCGCACGCAGTCAATGCAAAAGCCGAGCACCTTGACGTCGCCGGCGGCGGTGAACATCACCGACGAGATGGTCTGCGCGTGGTCGTAGTTGACGAGCCTCGCCGCGAACGAGTCGCTGATGGGGCGCAGCGACTCCACCACAACCAGGCGGCGGCAGCGGCTGCCCCAGCGGTCCAGCCACTGCTCAGGCTCGCGCGGCTGCAGGTGGCGCCACTCGGCATCCTCCAGCCAGAAGATGCAGACGTCAGCGCTGCTATGGCGTGCGGCACGGTCAGGCAGAAGTGGTGCAACCGGGGTCAGCGCGCGCACGGAGCGTGCGCGCCTGTTGAGCCGACGCCAGAGCTCGGGCGAGCTGGCCGCCGCGCTGTGGACCACAACGACGTCACGCCGGCTAGCCAGGCGTGACAGGAGGAGATTCAGCCGGTCTCCGGTCGTCGCACCACCGCTCAGAGCCAGCAAACTTATCAGCGACGACAGCAGCAATCGGTCCCGCGCGGCGACCATGCTGCCGCCGGCTCCAACCGCCGCCCGAGGCGTACTGCCGCCGCCGGTCAGACGCTCCCTCCCCCCCTCCCCGCGAGGTGCGGCGTAGTTTGTTCGACCGCGGCGGGCAGGAGGGGCGGTGGAGCAGGATTATAGGGCGACATGCATCCCCCCCCCCCCAAGCGTGAACCGATTGGTCGAGAGTCGGGCGCAGCGAGTGGCGGCGTCAGGAACGCCCCGGGGCACAACAAAGCGTAGTAAAGGTTACTGTATGCGGTCTACACAAGGCGGTCTTCATGGGCAGCCGATTTTTGGGCCTGGGCTCCACCCACCGCGTCATTTTGTCAAATACAGCGCAGCGGTGGCCGTAATGGTAGTAATCGTCAGCAAATGAGCAGAGTGCATTATGCGATACAGATGTACGTGGGACTCGATATCTCTGGCTGCCTTGATCCCATGTTCGTCCCCCTTCCCCTCCAGTGGGGGCTTGAAATCAGTCAGAATGTCACCAAATCCCTCAATGCAGCCAAAACGCTTCCGTGTTGTATTAAACTGGTTTTCAGCAATCCATTGCGTTCTGTAAAGCTCCGCCTCCGAAAGCATAGATCCCTGACCACAAATTCGGCGCGCATTTGCGCGAATGTATCGCGAAGAATTTGCAAGATCGCTTTTCCATCAAATGTTTACGGTTGCACGGTTGTTTCAATGCATGCTATTTAGACCACGAAATATTAGCTAGAAATGCGTTGAATCTGCGTACGATGTACATAATCAAAGAACATGGCGGATATGAAATCTGTCGGAATCGCATGCACTGAGTGTAATTTGGAACGTGATCTCTCAACTAACTGTGCTTTGCGAGACCATTCCATGGCTGAGATCTTCAAAGCGCCCTTCGACCAAAGACTTGTTGCAGCTGCTTGCGATGCGCAGCATTTGAAACAGGTGCTTCGGTCTGGAGCTTTCATTCATGACCGCCTGTTTCATTCGTGGTCTGTGTACAGCTTCAGTGCGATGTTTTGGACATCACACCAGAAGCTGTCTGATCACTGTCATAACGCTATAAAACACAAACACCATCAAATAGCCAAAACTTCCGTTTGGCAAGCGTTCGATGGCATGTGTCATTGGGGCTTTACGACGCACTCAGCTGCTGAGGCTATATGGCGTCGCCTGCCTCTCACCCTGGCGGGAAGTGCGGGCACCGCGGGGAAGCGAACCCCTCTGGTTTCCCAGACGCGCAGCGGTTAACGCAGCCTCGTTAACCACTACACTGCCGGCACCCCTCGTTCGATGGTGAGTGACATATCAAGTCAAGTGTCATTTCAGCCTGAGTGTGATGCTCTTGCAACTCCGAGCTCCGGTAACATCTGGAGGTCATCTCGCCAGTCCTGCCCGTCCTCGTGTCGAGGAAGACGAGAGTAAGAATGCCCAAAGGAGACATCATAGGCCGCGCGGTAGATCCGTCAGCGCCTCATAGCTACATATAGCTACATAGCTAGCTACATATAGCTGCATGCATATAGCTACATAGCTAGCTACATATAGCTGCATGCATATATCTACATATAGCTAGCTACATATAGCTGCATAGCTACACATAGCAGAGCTACGTTTACCATAGCTCACCAAGAGTAATGTCGGCGTCTGTGACCTCAGGAGCGGACATCAAGGAAATGCTGCCGAAGGAGTTTCCCGCGGTGGTGCAGCCGCCGTTCCTGCAGCACTGGGACCGCCTGAGCCGCTGCCAGAAACCAGTCATCGCTGCTGTCAACGGCTATGCTGTAAGGCGGTAGGCTTCGGTCTCAATCCAACGACCATTTCTGGGCAAACTCAGTCGCGTGCGCGCTGTGAGCGACCTTGTACTCTTGAAACATTCCAACAGGACATGTCCGCCATTGAAGCGCTTTCGCGATACCATGTGCGACGTGACGCTGTAAAGTAGCGTCCCTACTGCCTAAACGTGCCCCCGGGATAACAGGCTCCACTGACCTAAACCAGCATTCCCTTTGTGCTGAAAATTGGAGGTGACATACTTCGAGCCACGTAAACTTTATCAGCTCAAGACACACCCGTGTCTCGTTATACATTCACCCCGGATTTCTGCTGAACGCGACGACCGCGCTCGAAGTAGGCATGACGTCGTAACCAGCAAGCTGCATGTCCTAAGCGGAATGACACCTGCGGCACGGCTGCAGTTCATGACGTCATACACGCTGCCTTCAGTTGGGTGGAGGCTGCGAGCTCGCCATGATGTGTGACGTCATCTACGCCAGCGATGAGGCAGTGTTCGGTCAGCCAGAAATAACCCTAGGAACGATCCCCGGCGCTGGTAAGTGCATACTTAATCGGCGGCTAGAATTACCAGCTGATAACAGATGAGTCGCTTGCATTCAACCATGTGCAGAACTGTGCCTACCCGACCGCCGACTCGAGATTTTCGGCTCGTTTGATCGTATCGTAGGACGTTGCATAGCCCGCAGCTCATGCCACGGGCTCAATGCGCTTGAAACATACTTTATTGGGGGATTGCGTCTCATTTTATTGGGGTTGTGCTGACTGTCTCACTGACGGTCAGGGCTATTTCGAGATGGGATGCCCCTATTACGCTCCACGTGGGACGCGGGAGTGGCGTGACAGGGACGCGAACCCAGGACCGACAGATTCAAAGTCGAGTGCCAACCACTACACCACCGCTGCCCCGAGTTCAAAGCAGTGCTGCCTCGTAGGCCGAAGCTGTCCGCAGCCTGGTTACCGGAGTGTCGGACATTCACATGTAAGCCGAAGCTGTCCGCAGCTTGGTTACCAGAGCGTCGGACACTCACATGTAAGCCGGAACTGTCCGCAGCCTGGTTACCAGAGCGTCGGACACTGAGTAATGTGCGTTAGGCATGAGCACCCTCATCCCAGGTATTCCGCATGTATGGTTTGTGTTCAACGACCAGTTGACCTAAAGGACCAAGCTGAAAGGCTAAAGATTCAATCAGTCCCACCTGGCCTGAAGGGCAAGGTCGAAATAGGAGCGTCCGTATTCATAGAACCTGGCATTACTCTTCGTAGGTGGTGCACCCGGGACCTTCGCACCAAGCTCTGTTTAGCAAAGTCGCCGGCCCAAAAGCTATTCGCGAATAAGTATATTAACCTTTAAACACAGATATAAAAAAGGACTTTATGTTAAAGCAGACTTGGGGCAATACACATACCAACAAAACCACGAGAAGGAAGCACAGTGGACACGTGGATGTGTCGTATGTCTTGAATGCGCCGCTAACTGTTCTATGTCGTTCTTGAACGAGTCCATTGCATGTCAGGTGCCTTGAGTCCATTGCCAAGAAATCGAAGGAGTTGCACGTTAATGCACCAAGCAGTTCGAATCGCCCGCCCCCAGGCCAACCGTGATACCACAGTAGAAACGACTGATGGAGTTTGAGAATGTGTCGAATGTGTCGAACAGGCTGCTACTTGAACTAAGTCGACTGTAAGGTACTGACTTGGCAACATGCTTCGTATTGGCAGCAGCCTGGAAAGAGTTTAGTGGAGCTGACCCTTGCGTTGAACGCGTCGAATGTGGTCATCAGTACCCGTATACAATCGAAATTTACACCCGACATATAACATGTTTGCTTATACAAATACGTTTATCTGCATGTGCGCGCGAAGGGCATACGCTCTACGCACCACATCTCCTATATGCTATACATGCATTAGCAAAACGTCTTTACCTTTTGGTGCCTGAACCCCTCTGGCAATGCCTTCATACTTAAGCATGGAGCCTTGGATCGGTGGGAACCTGCTAATAGTGCATTATAAATCTCAGCGCACCTCCTAAATGCATGATATTGCAAAGTTCCAAGTCAGTAGTTATAACTACTGCATCAATTGTGTATCATCATGTAAATGGCCGTCGACTATTTTATAGCATTCCCACTAGCAACATCTAGCAGCGCTGACCCATCTTCCACCCAAGCCAAGTGCGCTGATTGGCTGTGGCGCACTGTGACCCCGCGCGCGCGCCCCTTATTGGCTGCGGCGCACTCTAACCTCGCACGCGCGCCCCCTACCGCAGGTGGTACTCAGCGACTGTGCCGCACCGTCGGCCGACCTCTGGCCATGGAGATGTGTCTGACCGGCCGCAAACTTACCGCCGCTGAAGCACTCCAGGCGGGTATGTCTAGGTCTGGTTGTATAGCTAAACGTATGGGTCTGACTGTTTAACTGCATGTCTGGGCCTGATTGCATACCTAGACTTCTGGGTCTGACTGTAAGGCTAGCCGTCTGGGTCTGACTATATATCTAGACGTATCGGTCTGAGTATATAAATATATATATATATATATGTATATATACATATAATATATATGTATATATGTATATATGTAAACACATATATATATACATATGTATATATATACATATATATGTGTATATATATATATATATATATATATATATATATATATATATATAAAGGCGTCTAGGTCTGGCTGTACACCCACGCCTTATTGCACGGCTGCGTAGCTGAGACTGTGTGATTGGTGTGCATACATTTGGGCTTGTTCGCGCACTTGTGCCGAGTTGTAGGCGTGAGTTCGACGGCACATCATGTAATGTATAGAATATGTTCAGCTTGGACCTTAGTTCGGGTACAACAAGCGGCCGAACCGTAAGTTGCATCCTGCAGGTGCGCTTTATGTTCGCGTGGTTTTTTCCTCCAGTCATTTAGAAGGCAGAACGTACTCATTAAACGTACATACATTAGAAAGCAGGTGATAGCTACCATGACAGTATCGAAGACCGCATAAAAATAAAAGAATGCTCAGTAAGTACAACATCATGAAATGATCATATATATATATATATATATATATACATATATATATATATATATATATATATATATATACGGCTGTGCGCATTTGTACAGCCATTCAGTTTGCTTAAGACTAGCTGTGATGGCTTGGAAGTCACCGACGCACAATTAGTGTTGCAATGTCATCATACTCACATTAAAAAGCTGATTTCACGTTGCAACATACAAGAATGCTTGGATGGGAAGTCCAGCGTTCCGTTGACATAAGCATGCTGTGTTTTTCAAGGTTTGGTCGGTCGGGTTATTCCTGCTGAAAAGCTTCTTGAAGAAGCCTTGAAAACGGCTTCAAGGATTGCTGCAATGTCTCCTATAGCTACTGTGCTTTGCAAGAAAGCAGTAAATGCTGGTGAGTTTCTGACACGGCCATTCATGGCACAACGTCCAACGTCCAACACACATTTTCATCATTAAGGCCGCGTTCTTAATTTGATTTAGACAAACCATCATTGCCGAATATTCTGGTAGCATGACCTGAAAAACAGGCTGCAGTCTATTTTGCTTCTTTCTGGGGCTGCGATACACCAAATTTACGGAGCGTGGTATATGGGCCACCCAGCTGCCTTTCCGCATGAAAAACGCAAATATAAACAGACAGACATTTGTCCGAATGTAGCATCTTTCTTGGTTAAGCGAGCTTTTTATAATCGTGGTCTCGTGGTCATCGAAAATCGTGATCGTGATCATTGATCGTACCTTGAATATGGAGGCCCCCGATTTTTTGGCTTCCTTTGGAGACAGTTCATACTTAAGAAGATGCCACATTTGAATCTTTACTCACAATCTGCTACGGGTAAACACAAAATTGTACGAATCGAACGCGCGTATGTTTTCATTTCAGCTCACCAGACATCGCTGTCGGCGGGGCTGCAGTACGAGAGGGACCTGTTTTACGCCACGTTCGCAACGGAGGATCGGCGAACCGGCATGGACGCCTTTATACAGAAACAGGCGCCTGTGTTTACTGGGAAGTAGGCTGTCTGTGTGACATGGAAGCTCCTCGGACCTGAGGACGGATGCGACCCTCTGAGATTGAATTTGTCTACGAATTTCAGAATTCCTGAATATGGTGATACGTGGACCCGAGGAAATTTATAATTGTATGTATGAATGTAAAAAGGTACGTACACATAATCCATAGCCTGGAAGTCCCGTTTTTTAGTCATTAGCGTGCAGTTCACAGGAATGTGTTGGCGGAGGAGCCGTGACATTGGTAATGATCTAGACACAACATAAATAAAGCCTAGAGCTCAACTGCAGCCGGCTCGACAATGCTTGACGGAAGTGCTCGGGTGACGTCATGTCTCTGAGTGACGTCATGTCTCCTTGACAACAGTCCCTGGGTGGCGTCTTGTCTGCGACAGCTGGCGACAGACGTCACGCCTGTCAGTTCGCCGGACGGGGGCGTGCAATGTGCACCCTTTTCGGTGGGGGCAATATTTCAATCGCCGATGACACGTCTGACCTCTTCTTCTTCACATGCCCATGGACGAAGCGCATGGCGTGCCTCGGTCTGAGTAAGTGGCATACTGCTCACACGAAGAGCCAAGCGTCGCTGGTACTGCCCCTCTGACGTTGCGGCTTCTCACTCAGCCGTCCAGTCGGCGCCACAAAGCTCAAGGGATAGTCGGTCTTTGCTTAGATGTCTTATCGATCGTATCTAGGTGTTTCATCCTCGTACGACAATCACACGAGGAAGACGCCGGGGTCGGACGTCCATGCCGTCCATAGCGCGACTGACAATGAGGTGGTGATGAACGATGTTGCTCGGTGTGCCCCAGGAAGGGTCGCAGAGGTCGTGATGACCCGTGATGAGGTGGCCCAAGGTCGTCGCGAGCAAGTTCGCTGGGTTGACAGTAAGTGACAGAGTGATCTGCCTCAGCAGCAGATCATGCAGTGGCCTCCGATGGCGGCAGCCGTAGTGTTTGCTAGGCGGGAGCTTGCATGTATTCGAAAAAGAAGATTTGTTTCGAACATTTTGAGTGAATGGACTTTCGGAATCAGAGCTCGCGCTTAGCAGTGCTGGTGTTAGCCTTGGTCCCCACCCCTGATCGCGAAAGCCCAGGCCAACGACAAATTTGGTGGCGAAAGCTAATTTGGTGGCGAAAGTTTTGCGTGTTGCAATGTTCGGCACGGCCCGTCCTGCCTTCTGACATCACCTGACCTTCATCGTGGTCACCGTGACCGGCCGCGGGCCATCCCTATCACGCGCAAATGGCGCGCGCCTGAAGCGACCCGAACCCGCCGCGCCACGGGTGAGTGGATCGGAACACAAGCGCTCAAACTAACTGGACTATCGGAACAGACAATCGACAAATATCGACAAAAATTGGCAGACAAATATTGGTGGTAATGTATGCATGCGTGTATGTAAGCGCGTGGATATGACCCTGACAACAATAATGCGCATGCGTTTCTCTTCGACACATCAATTCATAGCATGCATTTTTGTCGCTCCACCACACAATGATAATTGCACAAATGTAACAGGACGGCCCAGTGATTAGCGCCTTCGGCTCCGACGTGGGGCTCGTGTTCGAACGCTACTTGCGGCATGGCCCCTGAGGGCTAAGATGACCTGTTCAGTCGGTAGCGCTCCATAAAAGCGTGTGCGACGATGTGAGTCGCATTCCATTTTCTACAAAAAGATTCGTTGTATTTTTTATTTTCCATTTTCTCTACGTCGCATTCCATTTTCTACAAAAAACCGACGGGACGGTACTGGAGAGTCATGCAGAGCAACAAACGAAATGATGACATACAGCTCATATTATCAGTGGGAAGATGAAGCCATATTAGCACTCACCTTGATCACAGGGGTTGTGAAGCAGGACTTCAAAGCGCCAAGCTGAGGGGAGCAGGGTTGCACCCATCGGCGGAGCGTTACGAACTCTCACAATCCTTTTACACGGCAAGACCCTCGCACAGTTCATTTTCCGCCAGGAAGGTGCAATGCGACTGGAATGAGTTGCGTGTTTACCGCGACGAGAACGGGGGTGGAACGCAAACACCGGGCCGGCGGTCTCACTGTGGAACGCCTCAGTCATGCTGACAGTCTCTCTGGCGAAGGAGATCATGTGCCATTGATAATCCCGGCGCTTCAGGAGCGGGCCATGGCATCCGCTGGCATGTGTAATGCAGTGACCGTGTGCACCAGCTGACAGGGCACAAACCTGACCGCATGTTCAGCTGGTGAAAATCCCATGGCTTACAGCTGTCGTCATGGCCTGGTGCTTCAAGGACTGCAGGCCAGCCGGGTCCGATCGTGCTCATCAGTCATGCCGTGGTGAGTGAATGGGTTGTCATCGCGCCCTGAAGCTCATCGAGCACTACCGCCTGGGTGCCGCAGTTGGAAATGACATCACAAATGGAAACATTTGGCTTGCCGATTGTAACGGTGACTTTTCTGATCCGGTCAGTGGTGTCGAAAAGCGCACATACTTCCTTTGACACTTTAGGTTTTTGTGTCGTTTATTACACCAGCACAGTCACACCACACACTCACGCTACTTTAAGTCACAAAATCACAGTTAAAACTACGCCCACACTTAAAATTACACTGGCACAAGCTCCGACTGCTAATGTGCTGAAGGAGCTAACTCATATTCGCTAAGTTTTTGACTCGGTTGACATAAAAACCACTACCATGCATCCCGGCTGCGAGGCTGACTCTCTGAATCACGCCAATTTCAGTTCCACCAATTTAAGGGCTTTTCTCCCGTCTTGGAAGAGAATTCCAGGTGAGCCTCACGCACGCCAGATGGCGTGCTGAAATGCTTGCTGGAATGCGTGTTCAAATGATAAAACGCCGAGCAAACACTCTCGCTGACCCCATATTTTCCTCCGACATATCCAAAGCACAACAGAGCACACCAGAAACTAATACATGCATTTCCGTCCACGAACTCTTGCCAGCGCACGGCTGCGGCGGCTGCTTCACTCTGCTCCCCCCTGGTGAAGAATGTTTCGGTACGCGACGCGACCGCCACGGCCATCCACCGCCTCCGAGCGGCGCTGCTCCGCGGCACCGATCTCAAAGCCCGCACCTCCTGGCGTCGCTTGGGACGCGCACACTGCCAACGCCGGCAGTGAAGACTCGGGATGCGAGGCGAGGATCCTAAGCAGAACAACGACCATGGCAACGAAGAAAAACCGTTTGTTGTTCACGTGGCGCACGTTGCGCCTGATTTCAGGGGAGGAGGGGGGGGGGAGGCGTTGCCAGGCGCCCAGCACCGGCGGCACCAGCACCAGCGCAGTCACCAGCCTCCAGCGCCGTCTCGCGGCCACTACACAGAAACTCGCGACTGTGGACGCCAACCACGTCCCGCGACAATCGCGTTCGCAAGCGGCTCAGGTCGGTGGTCGGCTACAACCCAGCGGCGGCGATCTCCTGTGCGATCCAGCCGGTGAACTGTCGCACGTCGGCGTACACGCCCGGCAGGCCGTCCTGGCCGCAGCCGATGCCCCAGGACACGATGCCGACCTGCACGTAGCGGCCTGGGTCCGCCGGGTCTGGGCACACGAGCGCTGAGCCGCCGTCGCCGGTGCACGCGTCCTCGCCCAACCGCCCCCCGGCGCACACAAAGGAATCGTCCAGCTGGAAAAACGCGCCGAGTCGTGTGCGGCGCAGCGCGCTCTCGCACGTGGACGAGTCCACCAGAGGGAGGCTGAGGGACTTGAGCACCGTCTGGTAGTCGTTGCTGCCGAAGGCGTTCATGCCCCAGCCAGTGACCATACAGTCGCTGAGGGGGGTGAAGCCCGGCGGCGGCAGGCACACGGTATCCATGTGCGGCCGCAGATCCACCGGAGCTGGAAGGCACGCGCACGGTCGCTATGGGATTCCAACACGCACACAGGAACATGCTGTTCGCGATCAGGTGAAGCAAATATTGGCGGATGCGTAGGAACAAAGTGCTACGACCGCTGCGTACAGCGGATTTTGAATAGTCGAACATAAGTAGCTCGGGCAGACAGTTTTTTCAGGTCTACACATTTTTGTGGTTGGACGATGCTCATGAAGGGCATCTGATTATTATAATATATTGTCTTATAATCATAATATGCCCTTTATCTCATCATAAGCTTAAACAGAAATCAACGTCAGCAGCATTTCTTTAGTCTTGATATTTTGACGTGGATACGTCTATAATGGGTAAAAAGCACAAACCATAAGCGGACATGAACAACAAGACGTATAGCTGCTACAACATAGCGAGATCGCCTATAAGTGCCAGCTCCATCGTAAAGAAAAACGCAACCCATCCACCTTCACTTCCAAACAGACTCTTGGGACCAGCGACCCACGCTACCACGAGGCCGAACAGACTCTTAAACTTCTGAACTCTAAACTTTCGGAGGCATCGCCGGAACTAAGCCCAACTCACCGGCCAGAATCAGCAGCGCGATGTCGTTGTGTAGGTTGCCGCCGTTGTAGTCGGGGTGCCGAATCACGCGCTGTACCGCCATGTTCAGGTGGCTGTAGTACTCGGTCGTGTGCTGCGTGTCCCACTCGCCCAGGCGCGCCTGCAGCCCAGAGTACATGCGGACCGTGTGGGCCGCGCTGAGCACCACCTGCGGGCGGGGCGGGCGTCAGTATCTTGCGACCGTAAGGTGACGGGTTCGAGTCTGGCTCCCGACTGAGAACTTCTTCCCGGGAAATCGGCACGCCATATCTTGACGATAAGTGGTTGAGGCCTTAAGTGCGTCGTTACCTCTCCAAAGCAATGACGGAATTCATAACAGCAGTCACAACAGAAGGCCATCGCAGTTGGCACAACGAACGGCTGTCGTAATGGACCCGACGGAGAACTATGACAGACGCAACAGCGGTATCGTTAGACACAGCACGTAACAGTGACAATAGAAACGACAGGCAGCCGTCACTTTGGGCCCAATGAACACTGAACAACCGTCATGAACACTGAACACTGAACACTGAACAACGGCACGGCAGACGGCCGTCACGAGGACAGAATAGACATCTCCCTCAATGGGGAGAGGAATCGCGGGACATTTCCCGGCGGCGGACAGCCTTCGCAGGAGACGCTCCGACGAAGCGCCGCTGTCGACACACGTGACCTCTCGTGACATGAGACGGTTCACCTGTCTGTGGATGAGCGAGCCGCCTCCGACGAAGCGCCGCTGTTGACACCCGTGGCCTCTCGTGACATGAGACGGCTCACCTGTCTGTGGATGAACGAGCCGCCTCCGACGAAGCGCCGCTGTCGACACCCGTGACCTCTCGTGACATGAGATGGCTCACCTGTCTGTGGATGAGCGAGCCGCCTCCGACGAAGCGCCGCTGTTGACACCCGTGACCTCTCGTGACATGAGACGGTTTACCTGTCTGTGGATGAGCGAGCCGCCTCCGACGAAGCGCCGCTGTTGACACCCGTGACCTCTCGTGACATGAGACGGCTCACCTGTCTGTGGATGAGCGAGCCGCCTCCGACGAAGCGCCGCTGTCGACACCCGTGACCTCTCGTGACATGAGACGGTTTACCTGTCTGTGGATGAGCGAGCCGCCTCCGACGAAGCGCCGCTGTTGACACCCGTGACCTCTCGTGACATGAGACGGCTCACCTGTCTGTGGATGAGCGAGCCGCCTCCGACGAAGCGCCGCTGTTGACACCCGTGACCTCTCGTGACATGAGACGGCTCACCTGTCTGTGGATGAGCGAGCCGCCTCCGACGAAGAGCGTGCGGCCCTTGCGGTCCCGGCGCGTCAGGGCCACCTGCCACGGGAACTCGCCGAACTGCGTCTCGTGGTCCTGTCGAAGAAGGGGCACCACGTGCGTTACAGGTGTGCTCCTGGCAGAGCGGCTCCAACGCTAGCTGTGTAGTCGGGGGAGGTAGCAATGCAATGCCATCACGTGGCATCATAGATGCGCGGCTTATGGCAACAGCACGAGACGAAAGATCTCGGTAAAGAGCACGCCATGTTAAAAGCTGTGATTGGTGAAAGGTCATCAACGTATGAAAAATAGTCTTATGTGAGGCGACACTCCACACGACGTGTTGGCGGTACATTCAGGCTATTCGTTCTCCACATCATTGGCGTGTTCACCGAGCTGGGACGGCCAAACGAAACCTTTAACGCCTTGGTCGAGGCAAACACGACAGCGCATCTGAAAGAAACACGTGGCCTCGCGACCCACGCTACCACTTCCGTAACGCCCCGTGACGCTCTGGGCGCCACGGGCGACAGGCAGCGCCGTGATGCAGGCGAGTCACGTGAGTAGTGACACAGTGAGTGGTAACACTGAGGAGCGGCAGCGAGGAGTGCCATGGGGGTAGTGACAGTGAGAAGCCATATAGTGCATAATGATATAGTGAGTAATGTCATAGTGAGTTATAAGCGGATAATGACATAGTGAATAGCCGCATAGTAAGAAGTGACATAGTGAGTCGTGATATAGTGAGTAGTGACACCGTGAGTCACAATGGCACAGCCCAGCACCTTCCCATCCCTCCTCAGCGGTCGCCTGTCCCACCTGGAAGCCCAGTATCCTGACGTCGAGACCCTGGGGGTTGCGACGACCGCAGCTGGGGGCAAACGCCGCCGGCGGGCGCTTGCGGTGCTCGGCCAGGCGGGGCTGCCTGCAGCACACGTCCAGGAAGTCGTCGCACTCGGAGTGGGTTCGCGTCGGTGAGTTCTTGGCATTGTCGGTCAGCTCGCCACCGAACCTGCGCGGAGATACGCGACGGGCGATTGGTGAAGCGTTCTGTGTGGGGTGGGGTGGAGTGAACAAGAGGGAGAGCCCGACACGGCGGTGTAAGTGGGAGTGAGGGTGGCGAACGGGCGGCGCGCAGGAGAGGAAGCCACATAGTGAGTCATATTCACTTCTCTCTTCTGCGAGGAAGCACGGGAGGGTAGCGTGAGGGCATACTTTATGCTTGCGCGGAACGCTTCATGGGTAGCGGTCAGACGCGATGGTGACAAGACAGCCACGTACAAAAGAAAAAGACGGCCTTGTTTGACGCCGTAGGCCTTTCTCATGCTCTCGCCGTGCTTTCATCATCGCCGCATCCTCGGTTTTATCGTGTAACTTATAATCCATTGAGCCGATTCAAACATTCAGCGATGCATATGGAACGACTTCTAGTAAATACAAGGCATGACATGACGACAGCAACGATAGTCCGCTTAGTAGGTTGCGAATAGCCATCAGATCTGGCTGCCGTGTTGGAAAACCAGGCCGAATACTGGGTACAGACATGCGCAGAAGCCAGCGCAACACTGTCGACCATAGAGCAATGTCGGCTCAGTGGCGACCTACAGATGCGGCCGGCTCGCCGCTCACCGGATGTCCAGCAGGCCGCGGCCGTCGGTCACGATGTTTTCCGAGTCACAGTGGTAGAAGGGCACACACTCGTAGAGGCCGTCCTCGCAGTACTGGCGCGCCGCGCCCGTCTGGGCCGCGATGATTTCGGTCACCGACGTGGCCTGGCTGGCGGGCACCGCGGCCAGCGTCACAGCGGCGTGCAGCAGCGACACTAGCGCCACCTTTAACGACGGTGGCGCCGCAGACGGCTGGGCGGCGGGAGACATCTCGGACCTGGGGGTGCGGTGTCGCTGTGCGTCACGGTCCTGTAACGACGTAAACTCGTGTGTTTGAGCTTTGTAAAGTACGGACGGAATCAAGCAGATGCATGATTTTTTTGCAGTTTGCAATGATCAATCGCCCAAATTCCACGGTACAAGTTACAGCTTGTGGATTACAAATATTCTGGAAGGTTAGTTTTCTGCGAGTGAGGACGCACGAGAGTGTTAGCAACTCAGGCTACTTCACAGGCTCAAGAGAAGAACTACGATCGCTCCTGCTAAGCAAAAGCCACAGCAATCCTGCTAATGCGGTGATTTTGGCGTGTCGCCAATTAGTGTGTCTGGATTATGAGCTTAGGTTCTAAGTAACATGCCATATAATTTTTTCCATCATATCAGTTTTTGCGGTAGCATTTAATCCTAAGTAACAGTTATTTTGTATAAGAGCAGGATTTGGCTGCCAAGATATGACGAACTGCTTACCACAAGCTTGAAATTTAGACGGCCGCATCATGCAATGGATTACTGCAACGCGAAATTTGAATGAATGAATTGAACGAGCAGTGACAGCAAATGTAATTTTTGTTCCCGCCACCACGCTGATGCCCATCTTAGCGTGCGTGGGTAAGTTAACTCTCAGGCTATATCAGAGGTCGCTATGCCTCATTACTATATCACGCCGTTGGAGTGAACAGTTCTACTGGGTCTTCCAGGTGCAAGGTGCGTTTCAAAAAGGCTGCGATCCGAAAAAAAAACAGCGTGTTCCATTATCTGACAAATATTTTAACATTCGGATATTTTTGTTTTATAGTGAGGGATCTTCTGTTTAGAGAAACGTCTGCACGACAGCCCGCTGAACACGAACGCACTTCTCCAAATTCCAGACCGACTCATCCCCGCTGGTGTCTTGCACATGCAATGTTAAGAGGCTAAGCGCGAGGACGGGGCATGCATTTCTAGATCCCAAGCCGCAAAAGGGCTTGAAAAAATTAAAATTAAAGTTTTGAAATTGACATCTGAGGTGAGACCTATACATTTACAACAGTGGTTAGTTGCGTTTAAATTCCTAAAGAGCAGTTGTCTGAGAGCATCAACTGATGATTTAACTCTAAGAATAGCGACGGAAATAAACGTCCACCATTTTTGTTATCCTAATTATAAGCGTTCTCATCATCTTTATGCCTTTTTCGATAGGGTGGACAGAACGGAACAATCACAATAATTATGTGCCTTGAGCAGCTTGGGGACTTTTTCAGTCTGCATTAAGCGTGCTACATGTGAAAGAACGTCCGCTACCCAACGTTTTGCCTTCCCTTGGCAGGATGACTGAAGCGTCATATGAACACTGAGAGGCCTTGCAACTCAACTGCACGCCAATACATGATCCTAGTTGTACACATTCGCACCATTCGACTACATAGCCCACGTGTGACCCATGCAAAAGGGCTAAACCATGGAGCGTCGTCCGATCATATGCATTGCGGTCGAATCTTCGTAGGCGGCGAGGATGGAGTCGGATGTAAAGCGACTAAAGCGCACATTGCCCTTGCAACTAGTGTGATTACACTGCACAGAAGCCAGCAATAAGAAATTAGGGGGAGACAACCGACTGGAAAGCCAGACCGCCGGCCAGTGGGTCCGGGTGGCGGGGCCACGATACCATGAACTACGGCGGATTACAGGCCGGACCTGGACGGGCAGTCTGGCGGGCCGGAGGGGCTCGCGTTGACTGATTCGGGTCGGCGGAAGGTCAGCGAGCGGGCGAGCCCAGGTATGCCGCGAGTGGAGTCATTGTCGGGTCGTAAGGTCAGGGAGCGGGTGAGCCCAAGTATGCCGGGGGTGGAGTCATTATTCGGACTGACGTCGTTGGCCTGTGTGATAGCACGTACACATACGTACAAGCTAACGCACCGGATGAGGGCGATAGTCCAAACAATTATGCCGTCCGTGATACTAATACCTCGTCCCAATTATTACGTAAAACAATGACCTCAAATGCACCAACGCACCCGGATGAATGTGAACACGGCCGCGGCGGTGAGACCGCAGTTAGAAGCGTTCGACCGGTACTCCACACGGCGGCGTGCTTATAAGTCTAGTTATCCTGCGGGGTTACATCTGACACTTTGATAGTGTTTCGATCTCCTTTGTAGAATGGGGTGTTTTTTTCTCGAGCTCCATTACCTGGGTTAAACGGAATTGTTATATTTGGACGCTATCTCAGGTATCGCCACGCAAACGACAGATCTGTACCTTGACTTGTGCGGAATTTTTGGTGTCGTGGGAAGTTTTTTTACGTACGGCATTACTGCTTGTCGATCGTGATTGTGCAACAGGAAGTACAGAGCAATATGTTGTTTTTAGTTGCAATACACATCCGTTTTTTCTTTATTCAGTGTCAGCCAATTAACATTTTGGTTTTCCAAACCGGACGTTACGGAGTTGCAGGTTCTTTAAAACATTTTGTATGTCACACTGCGGTCAACCATGACAAGGCTTAGCCTCCTCTCTGGGAAAACACTGATGGCTGGAGAGATTGCAACTCCGGTGGCATCGTACCAAGCGGTGCCTCAAGCCCACAAACGCCTTGACGTCTGTCGGCAAAATATCAAGGCTGTTCCACTTAAAGACAACGCTTTAAATTCGAAGGTCAAGGAAGAAGATCATTATGGACAATAATCAAGTGTGGTAAAATAATTTAACTTGCAATGATAGCTTACACTTAAGTGCAAAAGACTGCTCTAGACAACACAGCCTTACTGTTTAATACTCCTCAGTACGTCATTGTATGATAACCTCATGGGTTGCTTGCGTCACTTCAGAGTCACTGCCCGATGGGCGTGTCAGAACAACTACTCTAGCGGAGGCGATGACTCACTTGTAACACCTCAACTTGCCGAGAGGTGGCTGATTAGCTGGCGCGTGTTTGCGAAAGCTGCATACCGGTTTGTACAGGTGTTTTGGCCGGTCTCATCGTGCTTTTGTACACTGGCCCTTTATTTCATATCTTTTACTTGCTTTCACACACGAGAGAGAATGACGCTTTTCTTAAGTTCTTTGATCTCCAGCCTCACTTCCATCATCACTAGTAACACCGCCCAAGTTTCTGTACTATGTAGCCCAAAACGTAATTCTTATTCGAAACATGCACTCAAAACATTAACCCTCGCCCTGATAGAGGGCTCGATGCGACCCTATCCTGAAGTTTCTTTGAAGATGTCTCTCTGGCATGTCGTACAATCACGCCCAAATGCTCACTAGCCTATATGACGCCATTGCGCGTTTTTTTTTAAAGGCAAAAACGTGCTCCTGACTCCATTGTACTGAGTTGGACAAGGAACACGGCCGTTTAAACTTCGTACCGTCACGAGACATGGTATCGCACGTATGATGCTGCAAAGCTGAAAAATGTGACTCACAGGAAGATTTGACCTTTGACCTGGCACCGTAGAGCCGATTATTGACCTAACAACATAAAACTAGTGCCCATTGCGAGGTGTCGTTAAGACCAATCTACTGTTTTTTTGTTTATTTACTAAGCTATATCTTCATTTGTTTGGAAACGTCAGGGGAACGGGTTGCATCAACCACCCAGCAGTCCGCGTTATGAAAACGGCGAATCAGCGCGAGAAATATCATGGTTGAAACCCAGTTGCTGCCTGTTGGTGCCACAAAATGCGATGACGTACGAAGCACAAGAATAATTCGATGGCCATACCTTTCTTAGCCATTAGCAAAGAACAGCCAATGAAGTGGCGGTATTCGCTCCACGTTTTATGGCGTTATGTATGCATGGACGACCATGAAATAGTCTGCACGAAATAGCCTCCACAAGCTCCGAGGCTCACGCAGGGCCGCGGGGGGGGGGGGGGGCGAAACAAGCTCGCGAGCGTCAACCCCAGAAACAAGGCATTTTGAACTCTTCGTAAAGGCATGACTGCAGCTTGCTTTCAGAGATCTTAAAATTAATTAGTTAAGTTATTATTAGGCATCATTCAAAACCTGATACAAATGCGGCACACTCCCTTCATCCGTTGCGCGGAGTTACGTCGCGTAATACGGAGCAACTCGTTTTATGTTTAAGACATCCTAACCGCAGCATTTGTGAGCATGCACCGGCTCAAGGGGTCGGGGTTAGCAGGGAACTTAATCGCGGCTCAACATCTGACGACACAGAAGGGGATTAGGCGGGATCATAGCGTGATCCGAAATGCCCTGTGAGGCGAAGTACTTTACGGGTTGGTTCGATCCATGAGCGCCCATATAGCGTGAGTGGTCAAATGGTGGATAGCGATGTGGGAGCAATTATGCGCAAGAGCACGTGTATGGGGACGTATTTCAATACATGCAATATAGATACTTCGAAAGCAGGATATATTATCGGTGTTTGTTTTTATTGATTGACCTTCACGAAAATGATACGAACTACAATGGCGTCATGTGTTAATATAAATGACGAAATGTTACACGCACGAAAGGCTGCCGCAACACTGTTCGCTAATTAAATAGCGGATAGCCAGAGCCACGGACGGCAAATTAATTGGGCAAAACAGGCCCTATCCGTGATAGAATTGGCTGAGACCCATCTGTGAGGCATAAGTAACGCACGCAACGAATGTAGTCCTCCCTAAAACAGTCAGATCCTATTAATGCAGTATACTTACCATAAGCATATGCTCACTTGAACGTGTCTTTGAAAGGCCTTTAGCGAGCGCTTCCTGATGTCAAAATAATGTTTCCTTCTATATAAACACCAACGGGTTACAATGATTAAAGAAGGGAAACAAAAGACACACAAGGTACCAAGTTTCATGTTCAAGTTATCACCTTCAGGTTTAGCGGCCCGAAAATAATTTAAAGCGTTAGAGACATTACTCTGCTTAACAAAAAAAGCCAAAGCGCGCAGCAAATAATACAGGAGACGCAGAAGAGCATCCAGGTCCAGAACGCCCAAGGTCAAGCATTTGGCTCCGTGCGGCGCACATCGGATTAATTCTCCGACAAAGAGTAAGTCCGGAAAAATGAGAGATAATCTGCCGCATCCATATCAAATGGCGTACCTAAACGTACCCAAAGGGAGGACCTCCGGGGCCATGGCCCCCCATCGACGTGGCAGGGCCCCTGGTGACCAGAAAACCAAGTAACGTTTGGAACTTTAAGGCTCTTTAAGGACTTCTGAAACATACCAAAGGGGCCCCGAGGCATAAAAATAGCACCCCAGCCTAATGTGCCCCGAATCAAACAACAGGGCCCTTATTCGACGACAAGCGCCCCTTTCAATCAGGATTGGCTCCCTCCTGGGCGAAATGTTGGACTACGCCAGTGACATCGTCGAAGTGCCGCTGGTAAACTTCTGCACTACCCGCCAGCTATCATCCTCTTCACACCACACCCCACTTCAGCTTGCAAATTTAGTTACACCAGCTAAAAACCTCGTCACCAAATCATATATCTAAATATCGTTACCAATCACACGCTTGCTTCCTCTGAATGTTGTTACCAGATGTCCTCATCTTGTCACCACATGAATACTCGTCACCACATATGCCTAAATCTCGTCACTACACATCTCTTGAATCTCATCACCCCCTCCTCCTCTCAGTTCCTGCGCCCGTCACCACCATCACCGTTGCCACCACCGTCCCACCGACCGCTCACCTGCCGTTGACGAGCACGGGTCGCTCCAAGCCACCACGCGTCAGCGCACCACCCCGCCGTCACCGACCACCCGGTCCGACTGGAGCAGCAGCGGCCGGCGGGCCAGCTGTACCGATGCAGCAGGCGGAATCTCCCAAACACCTGAGCCGGCGGCGGCCACTGGCCGGCCCCGACGCCGGACGGGATTTCCAGCGCCGCCAAGCGGTCGCCCGCGTCACCTGGTCAACAGCGGGCGAGGTTACGATGGGAGGGGGTGCTGCGCCTGCCGCCGGCCGCCAGCAGCCGTCACGGCATGGTCACACAGGGGGCGGCTGTGATCGGCTAGTGGTTCGTCGAGCGGGCGGCGGGCTTCTTCACAGACGAGGACTTAACTGATTGGGTAAACAGCTGGGCACAGAACAGAACAGAAGGCATAGGTATGACAGCAATTCGATTAGGCTTCTAAGGCGGTTCTCTCTATGCAACGCCATCGGTGTGATATTAAGTTCCGAAAACTTATAGGACAGAAATAGGACCTATATGACATACACATATATTTACATATATATGACCTACATACGTATATGTATATGACACATATACATATACGTGTATGACAGAAAACCAATGAAAGTAGTACGAACTTACCGTCCGTTACCTACGCCCCGTAGAAATATATTTACATTCCAACCTCTACGTAAGATATCGTCAATCTTTGCAAGGTCGATGTTGCCAGTTCCAGTGGTTCGGGAGGATCTTCTGTATTTGGGATCACTCATCCGTGATGGTTTAGCCGGTTCGAGGTTGCCTTAAGCTCCAGAACCCAGGGGATTCGAGCACTGAAAGGGGGTGAGTTTGAGTCGCTTTTAGCGCTCGCTATTTTCGCCTAGCTAGCACTATCACTTAGGCTTCCCCACAGACGAGGATTTCACAGATTGGGTAAACTCCTGGGTAGTCATATGAAACAACTAACAGGGTGGCACCAATTTTGTGACTGTGGGATGCTCGGTCACGGGCATGAACACGGCAATGAGTAAGACGTTTACGAAAAAGTAATACTTCTGCTTTAAGTTTCTTTAGTCAAAACTCGATTCATTCACACCGCTTTTTTAATTATCAACGAGCACAAATATGACCTCGTCATATGCTAGGCGTGTCCAATTGGCTGGCTTCCACCTGGCCATATTGCGCGTCTGGGAACTTATCCGGATATCGTGTTCTGCTGAAGACGGGGGGGATTTCATCAGAGCTCAAGAGATTAGTGATGCCATTTTTTTAGATTGCTCTTCTGAGACCTGCTGACCTTTAATTAGGCTAGCCAGCAAGGGGACTTTAAACAGCATAAATGCCTGAGGCCTGCTATTGTCTAAGACCCCATATCAAGAGGGCTGTGTTTTGTTGGTAATTGTGGGCTTCGCTTCACAGAAAGGCGACGGTGAAGAAAGAACCTCAACAAAGTTTTCGGAACTAAACACTACCCCGATGGGGTCGCAAAGAGAGAGCTGCCTTATAAGCCTTTGAAGGCCTTCCTTTCAGCCTTGACCCATGGCGGAATCACTGATTGCAATGCCTCGCCTGCATAGCCGTCATTCTTTCGGGTCCACAAGGGCAAGGCGGTTGTCAATGCCCTGCTATTTCGATTAAGCCAACACGAAGTGTCCACCCGTTACCTACTAACCTGATAATTATATTTGCAGTAGCCGGCAATTGAGGTAACCGGCATGAAGAGCAACAAAGTTTAGTTATGATTATGATGTCACACATAAAATACTGCCAATCCTTGCAATGTCAATGTTGTCAGTTCCAGCGACTTGGAAGGAGCGTCTGTGTTTGGCATTACTCATCTCTGCGCTCATCAATCACTCGTCTGTACAGATAGGACGTTTACGAAATAACAATGTTACCGCTAGATGATAACGTTACTGATTATAATTTGTTCAGTCATAGCTCAATTCATTCCCACTGCCTTTGTAATTAACAACGCGCACAAGTATGACCTCATCCTGTGCTAGGCGTGTCCAATTGGCTGGCCCATATTGAGCGTCTGGGAACTTATCCAGATGTCGTGTTCTGCTGAAGATGGGAGGGAGGGGGGTCATCATAGCTTAAGAGCTTAGTGGGTCGCTTTTTTAGATTCCCCCGCGGAGACCCACTGATCTTTAATTCAGCCAACCTTTAAACAGCATATTACCTGAGGCCTGCTGTTATCCAAGACCGCAAATCGGGAGAACTGTGTTTTGTTGGTAATTGTGGCCTCTTCACGCAAGGGTTACTTTGAGAACAAATCTCTCCCAATTTTGTGGGCTTTAAGATTACACCGATGACGTTGCATAGAGAGAGGGCCTTGGAAGGCATTCTTTCAGTCCTGTCTCCCTTGAGAAATCACTGGCTGCAATGCCTCACCAAAATGGTCGTCATTCTTTCGGGACCATAAGGGCAAGGTGATTGTCAATGCCCTGCTTTTTAAATGGCACTAACACGATCTTACCACCCGTTACCTACAAACCTCAGGACTATGTTTGCAGCAGCCGGCAACTGAGGCAAGCGACATGACAAGCAACACAATTTACTTGCGACCGTGATATCACATGGAAGATACTGCCAATTTTTGCGAAGCCGATATTGTAAGCTCCAGTAGTTCAAGAGGAGCGTTTGTATTTGGAGTCACTCACATCTGTGGTGCTTAAGCGGGTTAGAGGTCACTTTAAGCGCTCGAGCCCAGGAGGTTCGGGCATGCAAAGAAGGTGAATTTGAGTCGCTTTAAGCGCTCGCTCCATACCCTTGCCCGAATGCGTCATCCTTTTCCACAGCATTCGCCGTTGCACAAGGGACTTTTCCTTCTCGTATCTCTCGTCTGGCCGCATTGTGCAATCTTTAAGAGAAGAGCAAACCACGGCATTTGAGCTGTAGACCTCAATTCCTGACATGCAACTTGTTTTCGTCACATTTATGGACGATTGACGGTGATTGGTGGCAAGACTGGTGGTGGGATGTTGCTTTCTATATGCGGCCTTGGATTGCAGCCTCTGGTATGCCTGAACCAAGGGAATTTAAGCAGGTGTTTGGACGCTAGGCGTGACTGACCCTGTGACAAGTAATTTGAGCTGTAGGCCTCAATTACTGACATGCAACTTGTTTTCGTCACATTTATGGACGATTGACGGTGATTGGTGGCAAGACTTGGCCGTCTTGGCCGTCTTGGATGTTCTCAGGTGCGTGTAACACGTCACATTTGTGTTATGACGTCACCTGTTTTCCACGCGCCGAATAAAGTCTGCCTGTGTGAGCAGACCGGTAGATGGTCTGTGGCCATTGGCAGCGGCCGCCGCTAAATGTCAGGTGACCTAAGAGGACAGGACGACCGTGCCGAACATTGCTGCACGTTCAACTCTCTCACCACAAAGCTCTGCCGCTGACTGGGAATTTCACTTTTGAATGATCGGATGAGACTTCACGCAACGAGCGCTGCTTAACGTCGGCTGTGATCCCACAAGTGTATTCATTCAAAAGGTTTGAGCTACATTTTTAGAAATGTGCCGGCGGTAATTCAGAAATAATCTGGCTTCCGAGGCCTTCTCCGACCGGAAGCCATGGGCGTCTTACGCAGATGTGGAGTGGCGCCAACCGTTACCGGCTTACTTCGCTTGCACCGACCGCTTCCGGCCGAACGTGCCATTGTGAGTCATGGCACCGCCGCCGCCGTCGCCGCCGCCGCGTTGTTAACAAGGGAAGCCCGCGGCCCTTCTGAAAACCCTCGTCTGGAGCTGCGAGAACAATCAAAGGTCGTTCAAGCAGGAGCCGAACGCACGGTGACTCACAGATTCGGCGCGGAAGACACAAGGTGAGCGCGCCCCAGCGCGCGCCGGCCGGGGAGCAGCGGGGGGGGGGGGGGGCACGGCCAGAGTGGACTGACCAGGCCGTCTTCCGCCAGAGCGACCGCCAACGAGTCATCGGTAATCTGCCCGCAAGATCCGGGATGAGTCTCATCCGAGGTGAAAATGACAACATGTGCTCTTGACGGGCAGTCCAGCCTCACACGCCGTATATTATATAATCGTGATAGACGAGTTGATATTGATGCCGCGGACATCTCAGCGGGGATTGCTGTGAAATCCGTACTTTTTGCCCTCAAATCGCCGCTGTCACCGGACAGCCTTGGCTTCAAGCTTTGTGATGAGCGTGTTCTCGGCGATTACGCTTCTGAAGAAAGATATCGCCGCCAATATGGACACTGAGCATGTCAGTAAAACCTAAACCTGCTCATTTGACATATCAAACCTGTTCCCCATTCGAGAACCCGTCACCGAGTGCTACAGCTATTAGTCGAATGTTAGACACAACTGCCATCTGAGCAGAAGCCCACGTATGTGCTTGCTGATGACGGCACGCTTGAAAGTGAAACGAAATGCATTGAAATGAGCCTGACTATACTTTGTGGGGTATTGTGTGCAGTGTAGTAGCTGTATTAAGGGATCTGGATGAGCTGTAGTTTTGCACTTCCGTGTTTCTGAAAGAGCACAAAGCTTCTTTTCTTAGCAAATAGCTGACGTATTGACGTTACTAACACATCCAAGCCTTTTGCGGCAATATGACTCTTTGCACGTGTTGATTCGACTTAAGATGTCAAACGGGTGAGACAATGCAATGATGACAGAATGTTATGCTTTTGACATAATTAACCCTTTTCCGAGAAGCGCGTGGGCAAATTCCGCCACCTTATGTTTCCAGTCACCATTCCCAAAACATCTTCAGGATTTCAATAAAATTGACCTTTTAAGCTGTCCCCATCGTCACGAGGCCCCCGTCACGTAAGTCACGAGGCCCCCGTCACATGGTAAGACCATGGAAAACATATTTGCTTATTAGCGAGGTACCTCCTGGAATATTGAAGGTCGATGAAAAGCTAAGAGCTAAGCTAAGCTAAGAGCTAATAGCTAAGCCGGCGTAAGAGCTTCCATCTCGTGATAAGGAAAATCAGGATGTTAAGGCTTTTCCTTCTTACATGAAGAACTATCTGAAAAATGAGCACTCACCTGAACCAGGCAAAACAATTGGCAGAGACGGTTCCGGGATCGGAAAAGGGATGGACTATTCAACTTTATGAGAGGATACTGAGGGCGGTGTCCGCTGTCCCATACAGAAAACGTCGAGTCTCGTATTACACAGGTTAAAATCCTGTGCATATTTGTACTTACTGATCAGGTAGCAAGTACCAGACGTAGGCGCAGGTACCAAACAGTGGAAAGCTGTCATTAGTCAAATAATTCCCCGTTTTCTCTATCCTAGCCTCACTGGTATTTCAAGTAAAGAACATGTGTGTGCAAAGCATGCAAAAGTGAAGATCTCTAGAAAAGGGCGACACAAGATTGCGTAACATTTGAAAGGTTTTTAACGGCTACATTTCCCTGCACGAAGTCGAAAGCTGGGTGTTAAGAAGCATTTTATATCGAGACTTGATAGCCAATCTTCCTCCTGAGTTTTGGGTGAAAACTGAGAAAATATTAAAGCATCGCGGATGTTATGCTTGTTTGGGCCCTCGTCCCTGTCTGGTGCGTGGGTATGTACACGACGCTTCGGATAGATAACTCTAGGCGTCGTCATGAGGTATGGAGAGCTCTCAGGACGCTATGACACCTAACAACGGCCGGATAGTCCGATAACTCCCTCAGCGTCGTCAGGAGCTATGAACTTTTAGACCGCTATAGCACATGACAGCGGCCGGAGAGGTCACTGGCTGTAACGTTGTGTGCATACTAACACATCAGACGAGAACGATAGTCAGAACAGTTATTCCATCCCTTTCTGCCCAATGATAGGAACTGTATTTCCAATAGCTTTCATCTTCGTGCATCATATTTAAGCCAAAATATTGAGCGCACGTTGGACGCTTCTGTTGCAAATAAAAAATGAACAACAGCGAAAACAGCGAAAAAGAGACATTGGAAGCATTCATCAGGTAATTTTGCCATCTAAAATGAATTTCTGGATGTGCCTATAACAACAAGTGTGCGCTATAAAATATACGAAACATAGGAGTACAATTTGCTTGGATCACAACTCAAGTCAATTATGTTACAGCACAGGCCGTCACAATCTGTCCTAACGATAGCCACCTGTATGTCTACATGACGGGGCCATGTCAGTTTAAGCACACACCCAATTAAATTGGGTTTAACGCACGCAAATGCTTTGTCCATGTGTCATGGGATCAGAGAAGGTAGGGGAGGAAATACACATTCGCTCTTTTTTTGCACTGCTTATGCCTAGGTTCGCCTAAGACTTAATGGTTTTCCAAATAGCCAACAACAACGCCCACCACCTTCGTTCAGTTGCTATTTAACGACGTTGTCTACATGAAAACCAGGACATACACACGATAAGAGCAGTTGGTCAAAAACGTCCCGCAAGCTCACCCTTCGCCCCTGAAAAGCCAATTCCAAAGCATTCTAACATTCTACGCTATAGAAACAAAGCCAACATTACGATGAATCGAACGCCATTTTCTGGTAGAGATCAGACCAGTTATCCTAGAGATATGAAGAGGAAGAGGTGAACCTTCCCAACTCACACGCTGCCGTACCAAGTGATACCACGCACGGAATAGGGCTCACTCATTATCTGTTCGCCCATACTACGCCGAGCAGGTATCCAACGTCACCAATCATCTGCCACTGTCGACTGGCGAACACAGAGCCTCCGCCACGCTCCCTCTGACAAATCCGATTAACGAACACGCACCCGCTGTCGTGACTCCACCCAACCCATTCACGTGTCAAAGACAAAGAAGCTGTCGCACCTGTCTGGCAAAGCCAGTTGCCAGATTTGCATCTCTCTGCCTACGGTCATCCTGTATAATGCGGCTGCTGCATCAGGCCTGGCGTGCATAAATGTCGAAGGTCTCGCTGCGAGGGAACCTTTGAACCAGCCTTTGTATATGACATTTCGCTTCGCTGAACCGGAAGATGATTGCATTTCTAGTGCCGAAAGGTTCAGATGTTTAAAGGGAAGCAACGGAGCAGTGACCTTGTTAAGCGTGTTGAGCAGACATTGACCTCCTGCGTGTCGCCTCGGACGCCAACCAGCCAATATGATGCAATCAGTAGTGGCCGAAATATGCAAGTTGTTGCAACATTGCAAACTCCGCAACTGAAGAGGTCGGGATTCACCGGATCCACTAAGATCGTTCCCTCCAGCTTATCCAACCACAGCAAACTGAGCTGAACCCAATGCTAGGGACATGCGAGCGGCACTGCATCGCCGCGGCGCGGCGCGGCTGTCTCGGCGCAGGCCGCGCCAGGACCGCCGCGACTGCATCCGTCCCACGGCGGTCACGGCCGGCCGCACGCAGGCATGCAGCCTAAGGCCGTGCTCATGCGTGGAGCGGGACCGGCGTCATTGACACCCCCCTCCCCCTCCCTCAGGAGACGGCCGGGAAAACCGGCGCCCCTGCCGGATGAGTCCTCCCGGAATGGTCATCTGTAACGAGGACGAGGACGGCGCTGCTTCGCACGACGGCGGGCGACACGCAAGGACAAGCCGTTGCCCTAGTTTCGGAGCCGGACGAACGTCTAAACGGTCCCCAGTTAACTCCCACTGGTGTCTGCCGCGTGCAGATACATGGATGAATCGATAGCAGCAGACCATTGTTTCGCTGACCAGCTGTAGCTTTCTCCCCCAGCAGTGCATGCATTGGTTTGCACAGACCAGTGTGAGCACGTGCAGTTGCAGTCTCATCTTCCTCCCGCCGTGGCACGCGGCCAGAACATACAGTCTTTGGTTGTGAAACCGGCCCATTAAACGTTATCCAGGTGACGTGTCGATGTTGGCTTGCAGGTTAACCTCCCCAGTGAAAGTGCGATGCATAAGGTGCAGCTGACTGATAGGACCTAATGTGCCGTCCTTTCTTAGGGGAAAGTGCAACACTATCACGCACACGCACGCACTCACACACACACACACACACACACACACACACACACACACACACACACACACACACACACACACACACACACACACACACACACACACACACACACACACACACATACACACACACACACACACACACATGTATATACACAAACACACACACACACACACACATACACACACACACACACATGTATACACACACACACACACACACATGTATATATATATATATATATATATATATATATATATATATATATATATATATATATATATGTACACAAACACACACACACACACACACATATATATATATATATATATATATATATATATATATATACATATCTCAGAAAAACGACTCACGAAAGTACCCCGCCGCAAGTTATGACAATTGGCCTGCGAAGTTTGTAATACTGAGGCACTTCAATTCAGCTTCAGAACGAAGTGTGCCTTGCTGGACGTGATCTACATCCGCAGTATGGTTAACAACCTGCCGCAGAGGGTCAGCTCAGCTGGAGTGACCTGACGTGCTAAATTCAGTCGGCCGGTGCATGCGCAATGAGTTATCTCCGACGACTTGGCTGACAGACCCAATTAGCGGTTGGATTGCAACCGCGCTACTTGGGTGGAGGGCTTACGGCACATGCAATGGACTGCGCTTGCTATTTGATCTGTGCACAGCCTCCCGTGCGAGGCAGCCGTCCAGAATGGATCGATAATCATAAATAGGCCACCGCCGCTGTGAAGAGGACCGTTGTGAACGCGTCACACCGCAGTGCCCGCGAGCCGCGGTCGACTCTCCAGGCCATGGTCGGGCTTTCTGCACCGGCTGCAGCCGAGTAACCTTGCTGTAGCACGAGCATTGTGCAAACGTGCGGTGAGGGAATGCGAATGCCGTGTTATTATTGGGGGCCCGGTCTGTCAGAAGCGATCATCAGGCAAGCACCTGACCCTGGGAGCCAGCGGCATCGTCAAGTGTCGACCTTTGGTGGCGGCCGGCCGCGCTGCTCCAGTGCTCGCAGTCAAAATGGCTATTCGATATCTACGTAACGCATGCATGGTATCTACGAAATGCTATTCGATATCTACGTAATGCGTGCATGGTGTTTGTGAAGACTCAGAGCCTGAGCTTCATAGAGTGTAGTCCGGGCAGGTTTGACAACGCGCAAGCTCTTGATACCTGCACTACGTATGGAACACGATTTTCTAAGTCCTGAGGGGTGCAGTCCATTATTCGTTGCCAGGCAATGTGTGCTTGCAGGCACGTGGGCCATTACTCGAAATTTACTTCTCGCCGCGTTACAGACATAACTCGCCGCGATTGGCTCGGTAATTTGCAGTGCGAGTGAACGCGACTGTTAAATTAGCCGTGAAATAGTCCGGACGGTACATGGACGCCAGAGATCAGGCATGCCACAGGCTTCTTATGAAAATCACGAGAGCTAAAATTCACATAACTTGCATTTACATTGACCGAGCTGCGGCCATATTTGTAGATACCACGGTATTGGAGTTGCCAGCAGCAGGCCTGGCTGGATTCCGCTTCAGCGAAGTAGAATATGACTCAGCTCACGAGGGGTGATAAGGACTGAGGTACGACGGCACGGTGCAACCATGAGCCCACTATGATTCCGACTCAAGTCGATCCGCAAGCAGGTATGGATTTATTCCGGAACATATTTCGATAGTGCCTGTTTAGGAGAAGGCTGGCGTTGGAGTTCGTAACAGCCAACGCAGGGCCTTTATTTTTACAAGGCCTATAGGCCACTTTGTTGCATTTGGGGCACATGTAAACCCTTTGGCAGCACACTTTTATAGACTACGTTGTTTCAAATTCCATATGAGTCGTCCCACCGACTTCGCTTGACTCAGCTCAGGTTCATCTGACAAAATACGTTCAAAACCCCTGATTCTAACGATTCTACCATGACTCAACACTCCACAGTTGATCCTTAAGTTGATAAGGCTATTTCTGCAGTCTCTCCACTAGCTGACCATAACTGTCAGAATTATCGGGACGCCCGGATGCATCACTCGCTGTTGTTTCTCCACTGATCATGACGGAATAAGGGTACGCCGAACAGTTTATTCACCCGGGAAACGCCACGGCTCAAAGTAAGTACATTTTTCGAAAACGAATGACGTCATTTCCGCCCAGAGAAAATGTCGTCCTGCGCACCTGGTGACCACACCAATTAACCGTCATCCACCACATCGAAACTGGCAAACCCGGAACCCACCACATGACATTAAATGCATACATGAGCGTCTTTGGTGTGAAGAGAACGCAATAGTGTGAGGAACGAACGGGGTAGCATTTTCCACCACATCGTGTTAAAATGCTATCGCTAAAACAATGAAAGCGGAATGGCTCAAAACTCGTCCGCCTTCCATGCATCGCACAAGTAGCAGCCAACAATAAACAGTACATCAGTGAGCGCTGTTGATGCTAATAGAAAACACCGACGGAGAGAAGCAACGATCTAACAAACCGGTACACACGCTGCGACAGCACGTCACTAGCACACTGACGTCACTGGGTCCGACTACGATCTCATCGCGGCCCCTACAGCGCTGACATGGGATGAAACAGCTCCTCACGGTGGAAATCCCAACTTCGCCAACATGGCTTCTTAAGCGTTCATAAGCTAACCAAAACACAAAAATTCGTGCAGGTCCCGTGCTCGTGAATCTCTTATTTCGAATGGAAAATGACAGGCTATAGAAATGACCCCGCTCTCAGCAAACGTGACGTGCCTCACCCACAACTACCGTAACGTGACGCTAACCCAATGCTCTGGCAAACCCCCAGCGAACTTGTGACCGGAATGAGCCGGCCATTGACCTCCTGAAATCTTGGTCTACCAGTAAATACAGGGAAAGAGCATTGCGGACGTAGGAAAGCGACACCGCCTACCAATTTCCACAGTAGGCGGTGGAGCAAGTGCGTCACCAGTTACTCGCATTTCCCGCACTTAATCACGTTCCATCACGAGGATGAAATACCAACTTTGCAGCCCGGTGAAAGGGCTGCAAGCTCGTGCCGTGTGTGTGGGGGGGAGGGAGGGGGAGGGGGCGGGGCTCGTAACGGTGACCATTACAGTGAGGCGGGGCGGGCCAGCCCGCATCTCTTTAACCCTTTCCCAGCTTAAAGGCGTTGGTCTGACCCGTCCCAGTGAATGGGCCGTCCTCAGTCAATGCACGCTCTGCAGTCCGTGCGCACGCGCTGCTGCCTCGCCGCTCTTGACGGCCACGTCTCCAGGCGGTCTTCAGTCGCTCCTCAGTAGATGAGCCGTATGGAACCCTGGTCCGACCCCAGCAGCAGCAGCCGATTGGCGCTCAGTAGGGCCATCGAGGAGAGCACGCCTGCCGATCCGGCCAATCAGCGTCAGCGCGTGCGCCGCACACCCCCACGCCAGGAGAGACACCAGCGCCGCCGGGACGACTGATCTTCCCGGACACGCGGCTTGGCTCTCTTTCGGTAAGCTGCACACGTGTTGGTGATTACCTTTGCCTTAGCTATGTACGGTGCGTCTGCGCACAGACCGACCATTCTAGAAAAACGGGTTTGTCGATAAAACAGAAAGCACACCACTCAACGCCGGATATAAGCAAGCGCGCGTTTTAGCGATCAAGAAACGACAGCCAAGTGGGAAAAGTGCGGCAGAGAAGCGTCACAGGCGGACGTGAAGTGACACGTCAATGACACAATGACATGTCCCTCACGCCTCTCGCGTGAGGGAGGAACAGACGGCTCCACGGCAAGGCGACCATTTCATAGGATTCGCTTCAGGTGCGAGAGCCACAGCGAATGGATGCGTGCACTCGTGATGAACACGTTTACGACGTACTGCACTCGCAGACGCAAATGGATGCAAGCACGACAGCTTAGTGGGAGTGCATGCTTCGACTGCAGTTGCAAAGGAAGTGCAATGAGAAGCCACGAAGGACCGCAAACAGTGCGCCAGAGAGCTGCCAGGGCATGCGATCAAGAGTTTTCGCGTTACAAGTCGATATCAAACAAGCGAGATAACCGCACATGAAGCAAGCTGCAGAGCCACATGCTCCGATTCTGTCTGACCAGCATCCCTCCTCTGGACACGACCGACCGGTCACTCTGCCCGCCACAGACCACTCTCCACCGTAACGCGGGTCTCTCGGCCGCACACCGCCCGGTCCAGCCTGCCCCCACCGCAGCGCCCCCCTCCCCCGCGGCGCCCGTGCCCACCTTTGAAGCACTCGGGCTTCAGCTTGGTGGAGGAGAAGACGGCGCCCGGCTCGCTGCCGCTGCAGACGGCCAGCCGGTTGGTGGAGGTGCCGGTGATGACGTCGCCGGCGTCCACCAGGACGAAGCTGGCCGGCTCGCTCAGTCCGCTGGCGGCGCGGTGAGAGAGGTGTGAGGCGGCGGAGGTGCGAGGAGGGATGAGGATGACGCGCGCCGGGGAGAGAGAGTCAGGGGAAGCATGCGCCCAGGCAGAGCGGACATCCGCACCATACTATGTTAGAAGCAAAACGTTACAGCATGAATGCAATGCACAGCAGAAATAACGTCGGTGACAAATTGCTAAAACGTTGTTGCGGAATTTTGTCGGTGAATATCAGACCTCGGATGTCGCACACGTGACGTCACATATCACACATCGGCCGCACAGCCAGCTGGAGCGGCGGCAGGCGAGCAGGACGGCGGGAGGGCGGCCCATTGGCGGCGCTCTCACCGGAGCGTGGTACGTGCCGCGCCGTCGGCGGTCTCCCAGACAGTCAGGCTCGGCTCCACCGAACACGTCACCAGGCTGGCGTCATCGAGCGCCGCCACCTGCCGCACCTGCCGCACGAGTACGACACGCGCGTCACGGCGGGGTGACGTCACCGGGAAGGGTTGACGTCACGGGACGGGCGACGTCACGACGGGTGACGTAATCACGGGGGCAGTGACGCCATGAGAGGGATGACGTCGAGACGAGTGGCGACGTCACAACGGGTGACGTCATCACGGCATGCGATGGCGTCACGGGAGAGGCGACACCACGGTGGTTAGTGGCTTCACGACGTCATGCCGGCGTGTGCCATGGAACAAGCGGCGGTGGCTGCGGACCGCCTCGTTACACAACCACCGCGATGTCATGATAGGAGGATCAACAATAAGACGGAGACGCGGAGCAGCGGAGGGAACCGAGCCGTGGTTACGTCGTGCGACGCGAAGACAAGCGACGGCTTCTGTATCAGACTACCCGTCGTGGTCACGACTCGTGGACTCATCAACGCGTTCTATGAACCATGCGGCAAAATAGGCACCAGTAGGTGACGGGTCAGAACAGGCAGCTGTCCTCCGAACATCAGAAAAATGCAGCATCCGCCGTGTGGCGTCATGCGGAGAAACGAGCAAGCCAGAGCAGCACTTTCATTAGTCAATGCTGCTACCAATGTCGATGTGAAGCGAAGATCAAATAGCCACGGTGCTCCAACGCCAACAAAGGTGGCATCCCCCTCAATCAGGCCCCCGCCATCGCGACCACACCCGCATGTCGACCCCCCAACAACCCCCCCCCCCCCGACCGATGCTGCCAGCCTCACCTCAGCCTCGTGAGCCTTCCAGGCGGCACGCACCGTGCCGGTACGTAGATCGAGCACAGCGAGGGCGCCCTGCGAGTGGCCGACGGCCAGCCAGCGGCCGCCGGGCGCCACGGCCAAACAGCGGACCTGGCCGGCCGACGGTGACGCCGTCTGTCGGGCAGGGCTGGGAGTGAGCGGGACTGGCGCCGCCTGGGCGAAGGCGCGTGGCTGCGGCCGACGGCCGTTGATGTCGCCTCACGCCCACGGCGGCGGCCGGAAGTCTGGGGTCGTCACGGTCGACACGTGCGGACACATCATGTTCACGGGTCGATGACGTCACGCGTCAGCCCGTCGCAGAGGACACAGCGCAGTTCCTTTCTCAAGGGACGCTCGCCCGTGCGAAATGCAGCCGGGCCCTGCCACGTCCCACGCGGTCCCGCCCCGACGCGCACGAGACGGTCTCATCCCCCCAAACACGACACAGCGCGGTATCACAGGCGCGGTCACAGCGCCCGCGACTTCGAACGCAAGGCTTTGCCCGCAGCGACCTGAGCGGGCGGGTCGGGGAGTCGCAGGGGAGCCAGGTCCCGGCATGGCGTCAACGACCGGGACCACTGTGCGCCGGGGGGCGTCCGCCGAGCGAGTCCCTTGGCGACGTCAGGGATGGCACCAATCATGACACCCCGGGGCAGGGAATAGGGACAGCGCAGGGGACCTGTGCCAGAGGAGGTACCCGGGGACATGCGCCAGAGACGGTACCCGAAGACCTGCACCAGAGAAGGTACCAGGGGACCTGTGCAAGAGTCGGTACCCGGGGACCTGTGCCAGAGGCGCTACCCGCGAACCTGCGCCAAGGGAGGTACCAGGGGACCTGTGCCAGAGGCGGTAAGCGGGGACCTGCGTCAGAGGTGGTACCCACGGACCTGTGCCAGAGGCGGTACCCGGACCCAGACACAGGGCCGGCGCTGCCGCGACGTCGGCAAGGGCAGACGACCGGCCAGGCTCACCTTCCAGGTGCAGACAGCAGCGCCGATACGCGTGTCCACCAGCCGCAGGCTGGGCTCGCTGGATCCACAGAACAGGTACGGGCACGGCGCCGGAACCGCAGCCATGACCTGCCGCACAACGACGGCGGCAGCGGCGGCCGTGGTTAGAGGGCGACAAGTGAAACACGCACACCTGATGGCTTACGGGAGGTACTCGACTGTGGGAAAGTCGTGACGGTGACAGAACACCTTCACGGACGCCACTGAGCCAGCCAGCGGTGACAAGTCGGGCGGATGAAAGCCACAAACGTAGTTTGCTGTGCGTGAAACGCCCGGAGCATTTGAGTTTCATCTCAAGTGGCTCAGGAGCGCAGCGACACAAATGTTGAGGGGATGAATGAGCTACTCCGCATTCGACGGGATGACGAGAACATAAGGAGCAGGCAGAACCGGCGCATGTGTAGCACCAATGACAACAAACCGCAGGCTTACGCCACCTGTTGTCGCACCAACACACTGCAACGCAATGCTCCGGCACTGATGCTCGCGCCGAGCCGAAACATTCCCCCCGCCCATCTCCCCGCAAATCCAACTACTGCACTGTTCCGTTAATAGGTGCCGCCACTTCAGCGTCGCGGAACACGTAAGAGTCCGCTTCGGACGCTCATACGCGAGGACAGAGCCCCTCTGCAGTTCCCCAGGCGCCGCGCCGCCACCGGCCGATGCCGGCGCTCACCCGGCGGTGAGGGTTACTTCCCCTCGAGGGTGAGAGATCAGCTCCACCCGCCGGAGAGGCACCTTCACTGAACGGCGAGGGCGGTCTGCGTCCGAGTGAGAGGACCGCCCTCACTCGGAAAGAAGGAACGGCCTCGCTAGACCGAGCGGCCGCCACCGCTCGAAGGAGAGGGACCCGCCTCACCAGACCGAGCGGCCCCACCCACGCGAGAGCGGCCGCCCCCAGTCGGAACCCCGCCACTCACGCTGATGCTGCCCAGCTCGACCTGAGCGTCCGCAGCGCCGATGAACGGGTCCCAGAGGTGCAGCGTCTGGGGGTCGCACGAGGCCACCCGCTGCCGGGCCGGCAGGTAGGTGGCGCCCAGCACCGGCCGCCGGTGCTGGCTGTACGTCCATTGGGGTGTCGAGCGCTGGCTACCGTCCCCCTGGTGGAAGAGGTGGCGGATGTCACCGCGGGAAATTGGAGATCGAGGAAGGCGATCACCTATTTTTCGGCAGCCTCGGCTTGTATCGTGGCGCTTGATTCCTTCGGAAGGAAAGTGCTAGCAGGTTTGCTTTGTTTATGACTCAAGGTCACGTGGGAGTAATAGAAATAAGCTGTTTAATGACCCCGCTGGCCTGCAGCTTTGGTTTCGATGCATAGCTAGTGAGGTAATAGGTAACCGATGAGCTCCCAAGGTTCTTTGATGGCAACACAAACCCCTTAAGCATTCATACGTTGTCCCATCCTATACAATTATGTACATAAGCGGCCTCTGTTATCCCTCACCTTGCGCACGAATATACAAGCAGCCCTGGCGACCTGTGTTAACGTCATTGTCAAGACAGGCCATGCACCACACAGACAGTCCCGTGCCGTTCGCCACTGGCCCCACTGACCCCGACCTCTCGCGCCCGACTCCTCGCAGACCGGCACCTCTCGCACCTGGCTCCGCACCGGGACCAGGGCCGGACGCACCGGGCTGCAGACAGTCCACAGCTGTCCACAGCTCCGGACAGTCCACAGTTGTCCACAGCTCCGGACAGTCCACAGCTGTGCACGGCTCCGGACAGCCCACAGCTCCGAGCAGTCCACAGCTGTCCACAGCTCCGGACAATCCACAGCTGTGCACGGCTCCGGACAGTCCACAGCTCCGGACAGTCCACAGCTCCGGACAGCCCACAGCTCCGAGCAGTCCACAGCTGTCCACAGTTCCGGACAATCCACAGCTGTCTACAGCCCCGGACAGTCCCTAGCTGTCCACGGCTCCGAACAGTCCACAGTTGTCTACAGCTCCAGACAGTCCACAGAGGCACTCACCTGGCTGCGGATAGACCAGAGCTTGACCGTCTTGTCGCGGCTGGCCGACACGAAGCTGTTCTCGTTGTCGAGCACGTGCATCTCGCGCACGGCGCCGCTGTGGCCGTCGAAGCCCTGGACGCGGATCTGCTTGGGGTTGAGGTGCACGTCCACCTGCGCCAGCTCGTTGAGCCAGTACGCCTGCCAGGCGCCGCGCAGGTGCCTGCAACACCGCGTGGCACGCGGCGACTGTCAGCGACTTCCGCTCCGGGAGTCTGCGGAGAGTGGTGGCGCATGGTGTGGGCTGAGCACCCCCGCGCGCTGGTCACGGGTTGAACTCGAGTGCGCCGTGGTGTCCGAGCGCTGGCGGGACTGCCGTGATCGCTGCAGATGCATGGACGACTTGAAGACAACAGGTGCCGCATTCGTTTTCTTGAAAGTGGAACGCTCCCATGCCGAACGGCACAGTAATAGACGAACGGCAGAGTGAAGGCACAGTGAACGGCACAGTGAAGACCACATATGCGGCTACCTTCTCCCATACTAGACTCCACATCGTGGCATATGCAGAGAAAATGCATAGAGCGGGGACACAGCTTATTGAAGGCCATACCACTGTCTGGCCTGTACACTGCCCTCTTCCTTTTGTACAGGTGTTTGCCCCCAGCGCTACAACCTGCCCCTTGCGCGACTCTTTACGCCGTGTACTTGGCAACACACCGAGTGTTGCTGTCTGTTCGCGTGAATGTCTGCATCCTGTGAAGGCGTTGGCTCCAAACACTTCGAAGTTTTCCTCGTGTGCTGGAGTCTGCGACGTACATGCCGATGCCCGTGCTAATCCCGCCCGTCCCGTTCCGTCCCCGTCCCCGTCCCCGTCCCCGTCCCCGTCCCCGTCCCCGTCCCCGTCCCCGTCCTCGTCCCCGTCCCCGTCCCGCCCCGCCCCGTCCCGCGCACCTCTGTCTGCACTCTACTCCGGGCCAGTCCCATGTCAGAGATCCACCGCGACCTCCCTCGCGTCACCGCGCACGTGTCTCCACTCAGCGCGGCCGCCGCCCGCGCGCTCACCGACTGCCGTTGTTCATCTCCTTGTAGATGTGGCGCTGCCAGGTGTCGTCGAGCGCGGCGCCGACGGTCGCCGCCGCCGCCGGAGCCGCCGCCGCCGGGCCCTCGGTCTGGTGACGTCACAGGACGCCACACGGCCAGCGCGTCAGCCCGCGGTAGGGCGGCGTGGGCACAAACATTTGCAGCGATACGTACAAGCACCGTGATAAAGATGTAGATACTCCGAAACCCCGGCTTGGTTGTGTGTTTGTAAGAACAACAGCGGTAAAATCGGCTACAAACACAACTTGGAATTTCGCATGCTTTGCGAAAGTCATTACGCCACTTTTCTTTTCTTGCCTGTCAGTTAGGTGCGGTACTTGACATGCTTTTACGCCGCGTCTCAGCTCGCTTCAGTGACATGGCCGACATTTCAGCACCCAATTTGTCCTTGTCAACAGCGCCATCGGCACTCGCAACGACCGCAAAGAAGCAGCCTACACCCGAGCCGAAAGTCGAATTCAGTCGGCCTTTACACGGAACAACGTCGCCACACATCAGCAAAACGGCGCAGAAGCCGCTGCCGTCCCAGCCGGAGCCGCCTTTGGTCGCACCTGTACGTAGATTCTGTTGCCGATGGCCGGAGCTGTGGAGCCGAACCCGGCACCGCCAGCGCCGCCGGCGCCGCCCCCACTGGCGGTGGCGGCGGCGGTGCCGTCCCGGCCTGACCCGGACCCCGTACTACCGGCCATCGGCAAACTGGCGTTTGGGCCACTGGTGACATCCCGCGGCACTGCCGGAAAACGCAGTTTACCAGCGGTCCGGCAGGTGACGATGGTTTGAGACGTACCGGCAGCCTACACCGCACACAACCCGACCTGGACTTAAACGTCACATTGCTAAATATCAGCAAAACCAGAAAAATGCACGGTTAACGTGAAATGTTTGACAAAGAAGCAAACCGAAAACAATTGGAGCTGCTCGTATTGGCCGAGACTGGCGACTCACAGGTGACTGCCCTCTGGCGGTGGAGAACGCAGAGGTCGCGAATCAGTTCAATGTCTTCGGACGAAGCTGCAGTGCACAGTGCCTCCAAGAGATGGCAGAGCGGCACGTAGACGGCGTGAGCCAGGGCCGGCGTGAAAACCTGCACAACGCCGACGAGTTCCCATTGGTAGTCCATGCAAGTGCAGGAGTTGGGTACAACACATAAAACATCTGCATGAAATGGTCTACGTAGATCGCATACCACAATTACCTATTTGATGTCAAATTATAACACTGTAATTCAAGCCTTCACTCTGAAGCCTCCGTACTAATGCTGATTACCCTAACGAAGGCCCCGAAATAGGCCCGTGTTAAATTAAGCGACAGCCAGCGGTTTGTAGTTGAGTAAATCGTCAACATTCAGAATTTTAACACGAGGCTGGGTGGCCGGTTGAATAGGATGCCTTCAGGCGGGTGTGGAGAAAATCTCCGCTGACTAGCCGCCTTCAGATTTAAAGAACTAAACGAGCCTGAGATACCAAATTCACTGGGTAGGTAGCTCTCTTTATGGACAAATATGAATCAGATGTTCAAGTCTATGGGTTATGACCTTCGGAATACATAAGATGAAATAAGGTCCAACTGAGATCGATGTCTACAGTGCTTAATGACCTCATATAACTCGTTTTGACATACCTCTTCAAACTAAAGTTTCTGTCAGGCCATATCCAATCACTGACCTGTCCTGGCTTTCAGAAGATTAAACTAACCAAATTCCTTCAACATAGTTTTATATTTGAATTTGAAATCAGGACGAAGAAGAACCATGGGCGCCATCTTCCTCACACCAAAACGTTGGTCAATATTTTTTTTCGGGTCAGTGACCCCCCGTAACCTTCAGGAAGTCAAACTTATGTATATGTTGACGTAACAGTGATAAAATAATTAGAAATGCACGCAAAAACACCCCATAAATCAAATCATCCACTGAACAAGCTTTTTGCTTCCACCTTGATCTGACCTTTAAACCTGATCTTAGATCAATGAAGTTACTTGCAACCACAATTCACACTGTCTAATTGTCAGTACACCATCTCGAAGTTGCATGATTTCGTCTAGCACTCCACTGTCGCACCAGCCTGAAAGCTGCCATTAAACTGCCTTCACTGACAATAACGGGGTGACTTTAACCTACTGCAGTTTAGCAGCCTGCAGAGGCACATCTTATTTGTATAAAAACAGGATTTTTAATTATGCACAGCTAGACAACATTTGACATCGCTAAGCCGCACCATTCTGATCTTCGTCTAAGAAACGTTCTGGACCGTCAAGCATCAGCTTACCCAGGCACGTGCTATTGATCATCCCCTCACCCACGCAGACACCTCACAAACACACGTATCTAGATGATATCCTATGACACGATCATAGCCGTCAGGCCCAATAACAGTCCCTCCCCCCCCCCCCCCCCCTGTTCGCTGCCGATTCACTAAACTCCCGGCACTGATTTTCCCAGCGGCAGCCGGCCGGCTCCAGCGGTGGCGCCACCTTCCAGTGACATCGTCAGGTAAGCTCACCTGGACCAACTCGGCTCGGGCGCGCCGCGTGACGTCACTGTCGGCCGCTACTGGCCGGTCGCAAGGACTTTCCGCCCTGCGGCAGTCGAACATACGGCCAGTCAGCGAAGAGGCAGTAGTACGTACAGGAAGAGGGAACTGGGGAACAGCGATTTAGCGAAGACAGAGCCGCAAACATGGCCGATCAGAGGAGACGTGGCCGTATCACTGGGAGGCAAACACGCTTACAGCCAGTCAGCGTGCACGCAACCTCGTCTGGAGCCATTCAGAAGTACAAAAAAATGAGACAAAGTAGCACAAAGAAATACAGCGCAGCGCAGCGCAGAGGTACCCGACGCCCTTACATCAGTGCGTGTGCTCATTGTGAGTCGACTGTTTCCGCCCACTTAGTGCCAACTAGCACAGCCTACGCAATGGTACATGACACCAATCCCCCCATGCCAGACAGTGCCCTTTTGACAATGTAACTATTTGCTAGCAGGCTGCCATCACCCTTACGTGCACCTTGGACACAGGTCCACCAAGGACACCCCATCGCCGAGAAACAGTCTGCATCTCCCCGCAATGACTCTTGTTAATACGCTGCACGCCCCTTGAGGGAAGCTAACCAAGAACCTCGCATTCGTTCCTGTACGTACATTAACTTGACGGACTGACCTTTTGAAAAGGCGGCCAAACGTAGCCGCCAGCTGACTGGTGACGTCACCCAGCTGGCGCAGCGACATCTCCAGGCCGATGCGGTGCGTAACCATGACAACCAGACTGAGCCAGCGATAACAGACGGCGGCTCGGCCGGCCGCGCCTAATGCAAAATGGACCAATCAGAAGATCGTTCGTGACGTCATCAGCTGTCACACCACGGATTCAGCTGTCACATCGACGTGTGAACGTTATCGGGTTAAGTTGCATGACCAATCACCTAAAAGAGTTATACGCGACCAACCAGGTAAAACGGTTACAAAACCAATTTACTCGTTTATATGTTTGAGCAGCACTGCACTGAGAGGCGAGGCCGTTTAACTAAAATACAATAAATACAAAGCATACAGTAGTGTATAAAATTTAAGGATGGCATATGAAAGCTGAGTGAAGATGCTACAATGGTATTCATACTTGATCCCTTCGGCTCTAAAAGTGCCAAAACAGTCGTGAAAAATATCCGCGCTAATGTTGCTAGCTAAAAAATGTTCCGGACGTCTGGCAGTCTTAAAAAAAAACAGACCGCTCTAAGCTGTCTGCACACGAGTGCGAGGTACAGCGAGCAGAATTCAGGTGCGGGTCGATCGAGGCGGCACAAGCAAAGGGAAACAGGTAGGCGATATTTAAGAGTTCAGTTCACCTTGGAAGATGTTTCTCAGAAAACGTAAATCGCACTCCTCGCGCTGCTAGAGATGATATTTAAAAAGTAAGCGGAAGGATGTCATAACAGAGAAAAGCGTTCACATCGAGAATCTATGAGTAAGCATCCAAATAATAAACTTGTGCTGCATGCAATCGACCCACAATGAGTGGGAATTGGCCGCCCCGTCCCGACCACGCTACAGCATTCTAAAACCGATCGCACGTTTGTAAAATACGCAGCCGATGAAGTGCTCGATTGTCCCCACTGACTGTGTCAGAAACATATGACGCGAAAGTTACTTTAGTATCCAGCGTTACGCCAGGTCCCCAATTTTGCACACATGTTCAAGCTCAGTTTCATCACTAACAGATATGACCTGGGCGGGAGCACGCCTGAGGGTCATCGCGAATGTTACACATTCTACAGGGTTGAGGGTTAGCCTCCACCGACAGAACGCGCTGTCAGACGATCGAGATCATTCTGCGGCAGCGCGGCAGCAGCCGGGGGCGTAATTCTACGGGAAATTTTTACGTCACCAGCATACAAAAGACAGCCGGGTTTAATGACACAGGGAAGGTCGCTTATAAAACAGTGAAAAAAGGAGGGGAGACCAGAGTGATCCTTCCGGGACGCCGGAGGTCAACAGTTTCCAATCGGAAGTTTTTCCGTTGACGACAACCCTCTGACTTCTGTCGGACAGATACGAGACAAACCGTTATAGTCAAGATTCCCTTAAATGGTATGAACGTTTTAGCTCGTGGATTCGAGGCTCACGGTTAATGTAGTCGGTACGCTAAACTTTTCAGACCCACGTTGTTTGGCGATGGCGTTAAGCTTCCTACTTTGAAGGTGTTGTTTCGCAGCGCCCCATTTTTGGGTCTGTCCACCACGAGCTCCGCTGGTGTTGTACACGCTCTCCGTGAACATGCGATCCCAGGCATTCACTAGAATGATCTCGGATGTTACGTTTTCTTTCTTCCACAAAAACCTTTTCCCGGCCAGAGGGCACGGCAAATGCATACCGCGTTATTCCGCTTGCGTGCCCCCTCCGGCCCATTAACGCCTGTATCAGAATTTCTATCTTCAGAATTTGCTAGGATCGCCAGCACTAATCGATCCCGAACAAGCGTTCAATTATGACCAGAAATCAACGATAATGTACGGCGTCGCAAACCATTCTATTGTGCGGCGTGATTCCCCTCTATTAAATAATCTTTCATCTACAGCCGGATGTTTGACACAGAAAACTTTGTTCGCCTTTTTGACTTCTTGTGAAATTAACCTAGATCTACGCCGCAAAACACCAGCGTTCTCTGTCAGCCAGGTATCTGTTTTGCCGGACCCCAAGGAATATTCTGGCTCGACAACGCTCACACGACTGGGAATCAAAAGATCAAGGCACCACTTTCCGCAGTTGTAGTATCAGGAAAGATCCCTTCGCAGGCATGGGATATCCCGAAATGAGTGTAATGGAGCCTGCCATGGGTTAAAGGCACATCTCTGTAATATTATCTCATCCGGATGTACCACACAGGATGTGCCGAGGCAGGGAACGTAAACATTCTGCGCGGTGTGATCGAAACTGAAAGATTCTGGTATGATATTGAGTGATTTTTTCAAAGACATCCAGCAGTGCCTTCATCCCATGGGCCCACATGAGGAAACTTCCTTCGACGCATTGACGCACCGCATGTCCAACATTGGGCTGCGATGCCATTTAGTCAGGCCCGATGACTCAGGGCCATGCAAAAATACTGTGACCGAGGGTGGCGCACAACGGATACCCATGCCCACGTCTATAGTGTGCTTGTACCGAGTTTTCGAAGTGCACTAGGTTATTGTAAGATTATGGTAAACATATACAATATATAATGTATAAGATAACATATATAATATATGAGACAAAAGGTGTAATGCATAAGATATAATATATGAGGCATAAGATATAATATATAAGATATGATATATAAGATAAAATAAAAAAAACATCAGATATGATATATAATATATAAAATATAAACATAAGTTTTGTATGGCCAACTGTACTCATACCAACTAGGCAAATTTTATCCGTATTTTCACCGATTGAACTCATCACAGAACCCGCAACTTCTTTTTTGGTGATAGGAATGCGTGCACATTTGATACATACCTTGCAATGACAATAAATACAACCTAGAGTAAGCTTGGTCCGGAACGTGTCCTTTACTCTACTTAGGCAGGACTTTGTGTTCGGTAGGTGCGTAGGAGCTGACAGCGGCAGCTCCAGTGTAATCCTGCTGATTAGCCCCTAAGACAGTTTGCCCAAGACAGTAAGACAGTTAGGCGAGCCCACCTCAAGCGGTGAGGTAAGGTCATACCCACCTAATGGGAAAGCCAGGTCAAGGTCAGCTCACCTGACGGGAAGGTCAGATCCGGGTCAGTGGCCGTCTGAAGCACGGGCCGGAACACCCCCGCCAGCAGGGACTCCTGGAGGTCAGAGCACACACTCAACTCAACGCCGCGTCCTCACCGGCGGCACTCAACGCACTCCGTTTTGTGGTAAAGCGGACGTTTACGACCAATCGAGGGCACTGCTCTGCCTCAACTTGAGGCTGCGGGTTTGGGTCCAATGAAGCTGGTGGTTGGCCCTCACCCGTGCATTCGCTCAGGCTGCTACATACCCTGCCACACACGACAAGGAGCCACACACGACAAGCTGGAGGGATTCGCATGAAACCTCACGCTACCATGCCTAAGACAACCTCATCATCCATCAACAAGCAACAAGGCAGACAAACAAAAACAAACGGCAAACGACGCTATAAAAACGAACGCATTGCATTCAGCTCCAGCGCTCATCTCGGCGAGAACAATGACCCCCGCCATTCACTAAGTGGAGCGGCGGGGGGGGGGGGGAAATCGGTCGGCCACGAGCGTTGAGTCCCACGCAGGCGCCACGTAGCACTGCCGCGTGATGGTACCGTGTATCTCCCCAGCTGCTGACCCGTGTCCAGCTGCTGGCCCCTCACCAGCTGCTGACCCGGGGCCGGTTGCTGGCCCCTCACCAGCTGCTGATCCGTGGCCAGCTGCCGGCCCCTCACCGGCTGCTAACCCGAGGCCAACTGTCGGCCCCTCACCGGCTGCTAACCCGAGGCCAGCTGTCAGTTCCTCACCAGTTGCTGACCCGTGGCCAGCTGCTGGCCCCTCACCAGTTATGACCCATGGCCAGCTGTCAGCCCCCTCACCAGCTGCTGACCTCCGGTTATCTATCGGTCCCTCACCAGCTGCTGACCCGAGGCCAACTTTCGGTCCCTCCCCAGCTGCTGACCCGTGGCCAGCTATCGGCCTCTTACCAGCTGCTGACCCGTGGCCAGTACCGGCCTCTCGCCAGCTGCTGCTTGGGAACAGACGGCGGCACCCTACGGCCTCCTGGCGAGGGAACATCTCAACCCGATCATTCCGAAGACCCCTCAACAGCTGCTTATAGCCAACTGTCGACCACTGACCGGCTGCCGACCCGTGACATCGCGCATTCCTACCTGCAGCAGGTCCATGAGCAGCGTGTCGCTCAGGTAGGGCAGCACGTGCAGCAGCAGCGTCAGTCCGCCAATCAGCGCCGCCTCCACCGACGCCGTCAGCTTGCGCAGGGCGGAGCCGCACAGCTCGGTGACGTGCGGTAGGTACTGGTTCAGGATAAGCTGTTCGCCATACAACTCTGGAGGCGCGGACGAAGGTTAAAGCCAAGCAGCCAATGCCGAACACGCACGCTGCCGCCCGTAATCACTGCGAGGCCCACGTACTGCACACGTGCCGCGAATCAGAGATTTTCTAAGATCCGACACTTTTCCAAATGTCCCATCCCTTCACTAGCTGTGCAAACGAGCTAGCTATGGTCCGCATCTTTTAAAGAACACGGAAAACACCTCCTCCGCGTCCAAAGGTTGTCCTCCAATTATGCCGGAATCGAACATCTAGGCATATGTCGCTTCTAAAGAATTGATAGTAATTTGACGCCAACGAGCAGAGCTTGGTGGTTCGCAGCGTTGCAAGGTTTTCTGTCCACATGACGGTCCCTTGGCATTCGCGATAACCGTTTCGAGGGTCACCGCACGACCGCCTCGGGGCACCACCTTATGTAGATCACTGGGCCGCCTGGGCAAGACTCAATCGTTGTTCGTGCATAATATTCTTCTCCGACGTTACGGACTGTATGAAGCAGGCCCTCGCGACGCCGCACTCGTTGCGAAGCACCCACCTGCAACGTCGCACTCGTTACGGAGCACCCACCTGCAACGTCGCGCTCGTTACGGAGCACCCACCTGCAACGTCGCGCTCGTTACGGAGCACCCACCTGCAACGTCGCGCTCGTTACGGAGCACCCACCTGCAACGTCGCGCTCGTTACGGAGCACTCACCTGCAACGTCGCGCTCGTTACGGAGCACCCAACTACAGCGTCGCGCTCGTTACGGAGCACCCACCTGCAATGCTGCAGAGGCAGAGGAGGACCTTGTCCGAGCCGGCGTCGCCGGCCAAGCTGCGGCTGTACACCGCCTGGGGGCGCTCCGGGGCCGGCTGGGGGCCCCAGGGGACGCCCTCGTCAGACGACCAGCAGCCGAGGCGGCGGCGGGTCACGCCCGGCAGACTTTGCAGACGCGCTCGTTGGCCAGGGACCTCAAACGCGCAAATAACTGAGCACCCCACGCAGCGCGAGCCGGTGACCAGCGGGCTTCGGTTTCAGCAGAGTTTCACCTGGATTCAGCGCACTTTCAGCAGTAACAGGGTTTTCAAGGGTTGGACAGCTTGCAGCAGGGTTTCAGCGAGCGAAAAATAAACGTGGATAAATGACATTCGTAAACACGGGTTCTGTGGAAACCATTGTCACCGGTACTCCACAAAAACACAAACTGTGAGCGCACATCAGGCGAGGAAAGTTACGCGTACTAAATCGAACACCGGGAACGGCCTGGGTTCGGCTCATTCCAAAGTTCAGAAGATTTCACAAATATTTCATACGGAAGACGAACGGAGGCTGTGGTTAAGGACGACTACCGTGACATACAGATCGTCCATTGTACATAGCTAAACAGAAGTGGAGTGGGCAAAGGCGGTGTTGAAGGGTAGCCAGCTTTGTCAGAGTGGGACTTAATATGTCACATATGCTACCAATGCGACATGGCTGCTACAGAGTGCGGTTCTACAGTGGCTACTACAGTGGCAGCGGCTCTGTCGAAAGAACGCCCTAGTGGACCAGACTGGTCGAAGCCCGCTACAGAGTAGGCGCGGCTGTGTGGGAGTTTGCACGGCAAAGTCTGAGAACTCTTGGCTGCGTAAAAGCACTATGCCAGAGCGCCGGGCAGGTTTGCGTCGGGGTGGACATAGCTGAGCCGGAGTAAACATGTCTGGACCGGAGTGGAAATGGCTGAGCCGGACTGGACATGGCTGAGCCTGAGTGGACACGGCTGAGCCGAATGGACATCACTGAGTCGATACGAACCGAGCTGCTTCCCAGCAGCTTCAGTTGTGACACAGCGCAACATCAGAACTACCACCATGCGACGATAACGCTCATCGCCGCTTCAGCGTGTGCCCTCTATCGGGACCACTTCTCGTCCGCGGCGCGGTCACCTTCAGTGTGTGCCCTCTACCGGGACCATTTCTCGTCCGCGGCGTGGTCACCTTCAGGGTGTGCCTTCTACCGGGACCATTTCTCGTCCGCGGCGCGGTCACCTTCAGTGTGTGCCCTCTACCGGGACCATTTCTCGTCCGCGGCGTGGTCACCTTCAGGGTGTGCCTTCTACCGGGACCATTTCTCGTCCGCGGCGCGGTCACCTTCAGTGTGTGCCCTCTACCGGGACCATTTCTCGTCCGCGGCGCGGTCACCTTCAGTGTGTGCCCTCTGCCGGGATCATTTCTCGCCAGCGGAGTGGTCACCTTCAGCGAGTCCGGGTCCGAGTAGCAGACGGCCAGCATGCGCAGCAGGTTGCGCGCCAAGTGGCGGGACGTGAGGGCCGGGCCCAGCCGATGAGCCAGCCACATCACGGACTCGGCCGCCACGTCAGAGATCAGGCACCCCGGCGCCCTGAAACGGCAGGCACTGACGTCAGCAGCGCGCCCTGAAACGGCAGGCGCTCAAGTCAGCAGCGCGCCCTGAAACGGCTCAAGGGCATCAGAAGACTCCAACAGATGGAGGGCATGGATGGAGTTGATAGTCCAACATGCCATACATGGATCCGTGCATGGATAGCCCAAAATGCCATTCAAAAGTTATCCAAAACTAGCACATAGACGCCAGAGGGACACCTGGACACAAAACACAAACCGACATGAGCGGGGTAGAGGGGCAAATAAAATAGCTCCCTAAATGGAAAGTGCAAACATCACAAGAAATCCGAGAAAGGAAATCAGAAGGACGTAAAAAACACACCCCGAGGCGTCATATGGGCTGCGTTCCACCTGCCTTCAGCACATTTGTCAGCATCAATCACGGTCCAGTTTTCTCTCTATGTCACGTCACGTGACCACAAGGTCACGTGATGGTCTGTGACGTCACATCCTGTTGACGATGGTGCCAGGATTTTTCGTCAGCCCGTCAGCATGGAGAAAAGGCGCTACCAGATTAAGAAATCACTTCGACAAAGAAGCGGGAGTTGACATGGCAGCTCTTACGTCGGGGAATACCAGCGGCATAAGTTAGGTGCGGTGGGGCGCCTGTCTCTGATTTTGGGGAATGCAACGCACGACATGTAAGAAGGGAACTGAACTGCCAACAACTGCCATGGAAGAGTGAGTAATAGTGATTGGTGCGGTGTTTGGTTACGTTCCCTTGTAAATTAATGGTAATCGTAAGAGTAGTCGTTGCGGAAACCGTGACAAATGAGATCAGAAACGAAACACCACGGGTCTCGAACATGGGCTTTGTCGGTCCAAGTAGGAGTTCGGTGAAAGGATAGGCTTCATGCCAGCACAAGTAGCAGTGAAGGATCGTTACACCATTTCCACACAGAAATGAGTGAACACTTGAAATGAGTAGGAAGGAAACTGAAATGGGATGGAAATGGGAATAGGCACTCAACTCACGGATGGGACAGAGGATGGTACTATAAGAGCAGGATCCACACTTCCAAACACCACTTTATAGGGAGCGTATCATGGTCGGCGGTAAGCCACAGTTAATGAGTGGTCTAAAGTAGTCCAAAGGTAGGGGGAAAAGGAGGGTAAAGTTAAAAAATCCCGCGTCAGCCCACCCATCAAACGCTCCGCCCGAACGCATGACGTCACGCATTCCAGCTGACAATCGTGCTGACGACGAATCGAACGGGGCTATGACAGCATTACGAAGTCACCAGGAGCGTAGTTTACTACCCAGTTGGTGAGGGAGGAGGAGGCGACTCCAGCCCAAAACTTTAAGTGGAAACTGAGCCAACTTTGGCGAGAAATCCGCACTGGTTTACTTTGGGGCAGGTTTAGCCATTTCCCTGCCCTCAACCCCCCCAACTTATTTTTAAAACTACAGCCCTCAAACGTTACAAGCCGACGTTGCAGGAATCCGCTAACTTGATGACTGCATATATTGGAGTGAGTCGATGCAGCAGCACACAATCACGCCAACGAGAGGCCGGAAACCTAACACAAGCGACCTATATTGTCCAAACATACCACCAGGACACTCCCCACGGTACAGGACACTCCCCAGGACACTCCCCACGGTACAGGACACTCCCCAGGACACTCCCCACGGTACAGGGGTGCCCACAACAGAGCCAAACATACCACCAGGACACTCCCCACGGTACACGGGTGCCCACAACAGAGCCAAACAGCAGACAAAACATTACGCTGGCGGAGGTCCAAGTCCATCCCCCACACGGAATAAACAGATGTCTAACGAGCTGTTGTGACTGGTGTGCCACGAGCTCCTCCCGGACCGACGCTCCGGTGGGCTCCGAGCTCTTCCAGCGGCGGATGAAGCTTCGAGTGATCGCCACGTCAAGAACCCCAGTCGCCGGAGGGCACAATCGCACGGGTGTCGCCTGCGTGCGTCACCCATCTTGTACGTGGGTCACTTACGTAACTCGACTGATCGTGCATGACATTCATTTGCACTCGCGACAGCCCCTGTTGACAACAGACGGCACCGCAAAAGTGCTCACATTGGCCAGACGAAACAACTTGCCACGGAGACAAACACCAGAAGGGGACTGCAGACAGTTCATCCACAACTGACGGAGAGATCCTGGAAGGTACAGAGGCCGCATGATGCACTGCTAACGGAGGGGCCCCGAAGGGCACACAGTCCGCATAATGCACTGCTGACGGAGAGGCCCCGAAGGGAACAGAGTTCGTGTGATGTGATACTCACGGAGAGGCCCCGAAGGGCACACAGGCCGCATAATGCACTACTGACGGAGAGGCCCCGAAGGGAACAGAGGTCGTGTGATGTGATACTGACGGAGAGGCCCCGAAGGGCACACAGGCCGCGCAATGCACTACTGACGGAGAGGCCCCGAAGGGAACAGAGTTCGTGTGATGTGATACTGACGGAGAGGTCCCGAAGGGCACACAGGCCGCATAATGCACTACTGACGGAGAGCCCCCGAAGGGAAACAGAGGTCGTGTGACGTGATACTGACGAAGAGGCCACGAAGGGAACAGAGGCCGCGTGATGTACCACTGACGGAGGGGCCTCGTAGGGAACAGAGGCCGCGTGATTCTCTACTGACTGAGAGGTCACGGAGAGAACAGAGACCACCTGATTCTCTGCTGATGGAGAGGTAGAAGGAGACAGAAGCATGATACCCCACTGACGGAGAAGGCTCGGAGGGACAGGGGGCACATGACACACTTTTGATGGGCAGAGAACAAAGACGACCGGGACATGATACACTTCTGACGGAGAGGCTTGGAGGGACAGGGGACCACTAGCGCACTTTTGACGGAGAGTGACCGAAGAGGACACAGACAGGATACCCCGCTGACGGGGAAGGATGGAAGGGACAGAAGCCACTTGACGCACTATTGCCGGGCAGAGACCAAAGAGGACAGATGCATGATATCCTAGAGGAAAACGACTGCAGGAAGGGGTCTGCTGACGACAGCCTGGTGACCTAGGGTATTCACCCTTACTCCTCTACATTTCCACTGTAAAAACGTCTGTAAAAGTGCACATACAAAGGGTAGTAGGACGTGACAAGACAAAACCAGGCACGGCTTAAAATAACTCGGCTGTACCAGTTGCAGGACGAGGCGTCGCAGTCCGAGAGATACGGACCAGCTCCGTGGGACCGTGCCCCACCCTGGGTCAAGTCCTGGACCTCCCGACGTTACATGGAGACGGAGGACCGGATGGGGTGCGATTTATGCCAGCATCTCCAGCCCCGGGTGGCGGCGGCGAAGGCCCATCGGCGGGCCTCTACCGGCGGTCTGGATACAAGTGGAGGCCTCCACCGGCCTTCTGGACGATAGAGTGTCACTTCGGGGGATGGGCTTCTTGTCTGCCCTGGACAGACGATTTGCGGCCTTAGCAGCCTCAAGCTCGGCCAATCGCGCCCGCTTGGAATCGCGTGTCTGTACGCCTCGTGGCGCTTCATCGTCTCTGAAGCTCGTCCAAACGCTCTTGCCAGTGCACTGGCCTCCGCTGCAGTGGCGTCACTGAAGTGGCGTCGCCTCCGACGCCACTGCAGTGGCGTCGAAGGCAGCGAAGGTAGCAGTATGTCCATAGTAAGTTGCAACCTTTCCAAAAGTGGGCCAAATTGCGTCGTACCACGGCAGACTCATACCACATCCAACCTCTAAACAAGATGATGATTGCAGGATTTCCCGAGACATGTGCGAGGATGATGCATGGATGCATGTGCGAGGATGCCGCTGCAGGCTTTCGTGGAAACCAATACCGAGCGTGTTCGAACGTTAATGACTGAGCGCGGCAATGCAACGATTTATACCCATGGTCTCGTCCAGCTACCTGGCCAACATTGACCTGCATTGTCACGGCCCATCGTCACGTGAGGCGACACGTGACGCCGTATGTGACGCCGCACGTGCGGGTAAGCTATTACGTCAGTTGCAACCGCCGTCAATGAAGGGCTCCCGATGCCGTCGGCCAGGGTACCGCCGTTCACCGTGACAACGCAACGGAAGCTCAGCGTTCCAGAGCTCGAATTATTCTGATTTTTTGCCGAGTCACTGGCGGTGGCCAGTTGTGGTCAGATGCACGCGGCCGGGGCAAGATCTTCACGTCTTAGGAGAAGCCAGTGCCACACAACGGGCACTTACAGTCCGGCGATGCCTTACTAACATCTCATCTTTCTATGAGCAACCAGCTTCAGAAGCTGTGGCATGCCTGGGTTCGCATTTAACCCAAGTCAGTACATACCAACGCAATACGCAGCATGCCCTTTGCACAAGAAACTTTCACAAATAGCGCAACAATACCTTCAACGGAACTTCGACTTTCGACAACGTGGCATCAAAACCAGTGCCTTTCAACTCCCTCCGTACCCCCTCTGAGTGTACTCGGAGGGGGCACTCAAGGTCAATGCATCTATGCGATACACGTGCTCCACGGCCGCCGTCATCAACAGAGCGCCCGGGACACGCATCTGATTCACGTCATCCCCATGTGGGCACAACATCGGCAACGGCCGTCCTCTGCCGTGTCGTCATGCAACATTCTGCCCGCCGGGCGCCTTCAGGCGGCAGTCCAACTGCAATCAGCACTCTCTTGCAATTTGCGCTTCCGAATGTCACGTAAGGAACTACTGAGACAATTAATCGTTGGTTAGGTATTTGTAAGAATAACACACGATGACAACAAACCTGGGATGCATAACATAATAACCGGTATTTAATGGGGGGGGGGGGGGGAATGCATTTCTGCAGCATCTCACCGGAGTGATGCCGAGAATTGGTCGCCTGCCTGACACCGCAGCTCCGTTACACCAGGGTGGAATGAGATGATATCATGCGCACTGAGATGTTGTCACAACTCAGTCACCCGAGGCCCACACTCGCTGATCTCAGGTCACCACTCAATAACCTAACATAACTGTGCACTGACCTGGGACCGCGGAGTGCGCTGACCTGGGACCGCGGAGTGCGCTGACCTGGGACCGCGGAGTGCGTTGACCTGGGATCGCGGAGTGCACTGACCTGGGATCGAGGAGTGCACTGACCTGGGACCGAGGAGTGCACTGACCTGGGACCGAGGAGTGAACTCACCTGGGTAAACAGGGTACACTGACCTGGGTCTGGAGGGCTCGCTGGTCTCCGTGACGTCATCAGACGCCACCGACACTCGCTCCTGGCTCTCCGCGTCCTCGCGGGCGGCCGGCGCTCCCTCCTCGTCGTCCATGTGAAACACACCTGCCGAGGACCAGATCGGTGTGAGGGGACGCTCTCTGTCCACATGGCGCACATGCACCGAGAGCCTGACCGGTGTAAGGGAAGCCCGCCGTCTCCGAGAAATACATTCGATCAAGGTGAGATCAGTGCTGCAAGGGTCCCCTCGCCCATGCTAAATACATCTGCCCGAGGCCAGGCAACGGGACGCAGTAACCGGGTGGTCGCGTACATTGGACAGTAATCGCGACATCCGGGTTCGAGACCCACCGCTGGATCTTTCACTGGCTTCGGTCCTCATCTCGAGTGGCGCCGATAACTGCCTCAGCGGTACTAGACACCGACAAACAACCAAACGGCTGCTTTAGCCCTGAGTAAGGCAGGAGGAGCACCATCGGCGCTCGCACCAGGCGCCATCGGCACCAGCGCCGGGTCACTGGTGAGGAGGCGCCAGGATGCGACGCCCCGTGCAGAAGGCAGGCGCCGACAGATGCCCCGACTGCGACACACCTACGCCGACGGACCGCCGCTCGGGGTTACAGGGGCGAGCAGCCGCGTTCCGACCTCGTTCCTGTATGTGCAGTGCACCGAGGTCGTCTGCTTACGTTACAAAGGTTCGGCATGGCGCGATGGCGCGTCAGGCGGACCCGGTCTGGCAGACGACCCCGGTCTGGTCGTTGTGCACAATGCCAGGGCGGCGCCCCCACAGCCGTCCGAAGACAGCGGCCAGTACACAGCGCCGCGTAGTCTCAGCGACACCCGCGGCCACAGAGACGATCCGTTGCACAAGTTGGTGTGAGCTGTTTTTGTTGCTGTTCTGGACCTTGTAATCACTGGTGGGGTAATTACGACATTTATCCACTGACTGTCAACAGTTTTCTCCCTTTAGTGCTTTTCCAAGTGATATATTTAGCCATTATGCCACGGGGATGCCTTGATTGAGCACCGCAACTGACTTGTCTGCTACCAAAATATTATTTGCGCCTATCATAGAAACATTTCGCACGGATCTGCCCAGAGACGCCGATAATTTCTCAACATGGCAAACAGGTGCCTTATTCATGCATAATGGGCATATGCCATTTGCTATTTCATTATTGTGCAGCCATCCTTTGGTGAACAATGGTTTTGTATCGTAGTTTAAATTGCAGCTGCTTTATCAAGTTAGCTATAGAACGTGTCTTCCCACGATCTTACACGGCCTGTCAGTTAAAGTTGTCTGCCAGATGTAGGCCTACTGCCTATTTTCCTGGGTATTCGTGGACATGCAAATCTCATCTCTCACTAGCCTTTTGCATAACCAGTTCGTTGACTTAAAAAACCAGCGACGGATGCAAAAACGGGAAAGCGGAGGAAACGAATGCAAAATAATAAAAAAATACGATCATTGACATATTGACAAGTGAAGCGAAGCAATGGGCGAACGTGGGACCAAGCCATAGCTTCTACCCAGGACTGGCCGCCTACAAGTGGACCAGGACTGGTCCGTAGGGTTGCAGGGTCCTACGCCCTACCCTAAGCCCATTCATAAGCTTTCCCCTGCGATCCCGCCGTCCCTGTCTCGGCTGCCTTTGCCTGTCCCGACGGCCGTGCCAAAGGGCGACCAGACAATGCCCGTTACTGTCCCTGCCAACCTGGGTCACTTGGGTTGTGTGTGTGTGGGGGGGGGGGGGGGGCGTCCACTGCATGGGTCATTTTTCACCCACTTTTGTGTGTTGTATCTGTCATGAGTTCGGTGCGCGGCTTCACCGCCTGGCAGGCCACCTGCACTGTATATCTCGGCATGTCCCAGCCGTCCAACCCGCCCAGCAGTGCGGGGCCACTGAGTTCAGTTCACTCCACGGCGTCGACAAGTGCCAGCCTGTCACAAGACATTGTGTGTGACGGGCGTCATTGTCCAGTCTCAGTCTGAGGCTATCGCTTCTACTGGACTCGCTCAGTCCCACTGCACACAAGGCACCGAAGCATTCAGCGACGCTTCACAGTCGCAAAATCAGACATCAGCTGCCATCATCCAGGTGAACAGCCGGCGACGCCCGACAACCATTTTCCGCGACATTTCTGGAAACGGTGATTCCTGCCAAGGATAACCAAAAATAGCAGGAAACAGGAGGCAGAAGCCGCAAACGACTACCTTGCCCAAGAACGACGCCATGGATTTGAGAGCGGGGGGGGGGGGGGATCTCCAGGCGGGCCTCCCAAACAACATAGAGCCTCGTCGCAAGGGCTCGCTATGCGAAACTTTCCAATGGGCTTCCGGAGTTCAGACTAGAAGAAAACCCCTACAGAAACCTATTCCTACTCCTCCAAACCATATATGCGGCACCTTCACATTTTAAAGGGGAAAACATTCCCACTTCTTCGTCAATTTGGATTATTGATGAACGACAAAAAAAAAGAAGCCGCATTTTCCCCTAAACAGACCTCCTTAACACAAAATAGACCCCCCTGATCCAGGGCAGGTCTACCTGACTCGTAAAGTGGTCCCCCGATCTAGAATGATGAATTTCTTGGTAACAAAGGGCCTCCTCAGCCTGAAAAAGAATCGCCTACCTCACTTGTGCGGGCCTCCTCGATCTGAATTTCAATAACGTATGCATCACATAACTTACAGCATGGGTAAAATAATCAAGTAATTGTTTTTTTGTGACGCGACAGGGAGAACAGAGATGACATCCTGTCCCTCGGCCCCACGGTGCCATCTCTGGCTCCACTTGCGGGACAGAAACCAAACAGAGACGACATCCTGTCCCTCGGCCCCACGGTGCCATCTCTAGCCCCACTTGCGGGACGGAAACCGAACAGAGACGACATCCTGTCCCTCGGCCCCACGGTGCCATCTCTGGCTCTACTTGCGGGACAGAAACCGAGAATGCGACGGAGGACAGATTGCGCGGAACGTTTAGACTCCGCTGTTCACGAGCGGAGTCGCAGGTAAAACCAGTCGTCTTTGGAAAGTGATAGGAGTTCTAACTTGAGCGTCTAACTAACGTCCCGGCTCGGCCGTCATGGCTCATACAGATAACGTCTGCGCAACTAATGACTATGGCTTCACGCAGTTAAAGAAAAAGAGGCCAAATTCATCAAATCTCTGTTGCAAAGCTGCTCAGGCGCACACGTCGTACACAGGCGATACAATGGCTGCCGGTGGTGCCTGTTCCAGCGCCATGCCCGCGGCCCTGGTACTGTCCTTGACCGCCCATTATCCCTCGCGGGAGCTGTTTGTTTTTGGAACCCTCCGCCGCCGTTGAGTCCATCGGCGCACGGGTGTGCCGGCCGCCGGCACAGCCCACTAACCAGACGCGCCGCGCCTCCCGGCCGCCGTGTGCCGGCCGTCGCCACAGCCCACTAACCAGACGCGCCGCGCCTCCCGGCCGCCGTGTGCCGGCCGTCGCCACAGCCCACTAACCAGACGCGCCGCGCCTCCCGGCCGCCGTGTGCCGGCCGTCGCCACCAGACGCGCCGCGCCTCCCGGCCGCCGCTGGGCTCAGGCCGCAGCCCAGACCCACGGGCCATGACCTGGGTCACGAGAGGAGGGACGCCCTCTGACACCGGTACCGTGCCCCGCCTCCCCGTCGGTCCGCGGTCAGGCCCAATCCCCAGTAGGCGTTCGCCCGCGGCGCTCACCAGACAGAAGGGCGAATGGCTCGTCGGTAGCGTGGTGCTTGGTATGACCGCTGCACGGGAGTGCAGGACGCTTACAGTCTTCACGGCTAGAGGAAGCAAAAGCTGCCACACACAGAGCCCGGCCGGCAGTCAGAGTGGCGGCTGGTCACCAGCATAACCACCAGGCTCTCGCAGCCGCGAATGAGGGCGTGCTGTTGTCTTGCCTATTGCGGCATCAGGTATTACGGATGGAGTAAGTATTCGTGCTACCATCACATCTGGGGTGTTAGTATGCACTTGCGCATACCACCGCGCCAGACGAGGATGGTCAGTATGCGCCTCTACATACGAACAGACCATCCTCGTCCGGTGTGTCAGTATGCACCTGCACACACTGGCACAGCAGACGAGGATGGTGTGTCAGTATGCACCTGTACACACGGACTCAGCAGACGAGAATGGTGTGCCAGTATGCACCTGTACGCACGAACACAACAGACGAAGATGGTGTGTCAATACGCACCTGTACACACAGACACAGCAGACGAGGATGATGTGTCAGTATGCGCCTGTACGCACGAACACAACAGACGAAGATGGTGTGTCAATACGCACCTGTACACACAGACACAGCAGACGAGGATGGTGTGTCAGTATGCACCTGTACACACGAACACAGCAGACGAGAATGGTGTGCCAGTATGCACCTGTACGCACGAACACAACAGACGAAGATGGTGTGTCAATACGCAACTGTGCACAGAGACACAGCAGACGAGGATGGTGTGTCAGTATGCACCTATACACACGAACGCAGCAGACGAGGATGGTGGTCCGAACAACTGTTCCATCAATAAAACTAATATGTTGTCGCAATAATTATGCAAAACTGGGATATCAGGTGATTGGACTACGATATCACACCATGAAATTTATTTTCCAGAACAGTGGCCTCCTCATAAATAGCAGGGCCTGATCCTGATCCTGATCAAGAGCACGTCCTTCTGATGAGCACAGGCCTCCCGAGCTTGCAAAGAAACCTTAACACGAAACAGAGCCTCTTGATTCCGAGCAAGTCTACCTAGCTCACAAAGTGGTCTCCTGATCTATAATGAAGGGCCGCTTGGTACAGAAAAAGCGTTTCCTCGACCTGAAAAAGGATTGTCTAGCTGGGTTATGCGATCTCCCACGATCCGAATTTCAGTAACATATGCGTCGTTCCAAAACTTACCGCTTGAGTAAACGACTCAATTAATTATTTTTCGGAGAGGGGAAGAGGAGGAATAAGTTCCCATGCCCCTACAGTGCCATCCCCGTCTCTACTCACGAAGCAGAAGCCGACATCGCGACAAAAAACAGAGTGGGCGGAAAGCAGTGCACCCGAACCAATCAAAATCCAGCCTTTTTTCATTTGACCA